AATTAGTAGATAAGTTTTTAGGACCCTTTTAAATTACTAAGGTCGTTAGGGAAAAGAAGATAGTATACTAATTCGTATTCCCTACGTATTACCAGATCTACCTAATATTCCCTATTATTCTATTAGAGCCGTACTATAGGGATCCCGCTATAATAACGCCGCAAAGGGAAATTATAAATATTAAGGAGGATAATATTTAGTATAAAGTCGAGGCGATTGCGAAGTATCGTAGATCTAGTTACTAACGTTAATTCTAAATTAAATAGAAAGGGTATCCGGACGATAAAAATTCGTAGGTTTTATAAGAAGATATAAATTGCCCGGACCTTTTTAAAAAATACGAGGCTAGGGAAATATAATGGCGGTGTACTAGTAGCAGGCCGACTATTAAATTGATAAAGGTTAATTAAATAGTAGGAGGAGAATAATAATTATTTAAAAACCTAGAGCAGAGATATAAAATATAAATATAAGCCGTAAAATAAAGATGTAAGACGTAGATGTAAAACGTAAAATATAGATGTAAAACGCGGACGTAAGACGTAAGACGTAAATATAAAATGTAGATGTAAAATGCAAGACGTAAATGTAAGACGTAGGTGTAAGACGTAAGACGCAGACGTAAGACGTAGACGTAAAACGTAGGTGTAAAACGTAAGATGTAAATGTAAAACGTAGACGTAAGACGTAAGACGTAGACGCAAGACGTAAATGTGAAATGTAAGATGTAGACGTAAGATATAAATATAAGACGTAAAATACAGATATAAAACGTAAATGTAAGATGTAGATGTAAGGTGTAAAGTAGGGAAGTGAAAATAGAAATGTAAAGTGGAAATGCAAAGTAGAAATGTTAAAGGAGATAAAAAATAGGAAGGGAAGGTAATTTAATTTAATATAGGATATTAATAAAGTACTAAATAGAATATAGTTTATATTTTCTATTATTACCCTAAATAAAAAAATCCTCGGCGGTGTCCGCTATTATTAATATAAGATTAGAACCTATAATTTTAGAAGGAATATTCCTATACGCTACTACGCCTATTGATAATATTTATAGATATTATTTTATATTATTTATTTATAATCCTCTTTTGTGAATTTTAATAATTTATTTAATTTCCTATCTATAAATGCTAATTTCCTATTAATTGTTTAATATTAGGGATTCTAATTACAATTAAGGGAGGGGGTAATATAAATAGGAAAATTCAATACGGAAATATTTATAGGAAAACCGCTATTATTAGTAATAGGACTGTTAATAAGGGCTATTAAATTGATATTAGTATTAATATTATTAATACTATAGTAGCTAAATTTCGAATAGTCCTTATAATTAAAGTTCCTAATTCGGAATATATTAGGTAACGTCGTAGGGAGACTATTATTAATAAGGCGCACTTATATTATAATTTAAAACGCTACTACGGACCGATGTAACCGCTATAGGAGGAGGGTAAATAGAGGGCTATTAATATTAATAAAGTGTATAATTTTGGCTGCTATATCCTATATATTATTCTGGAGGTTATAAATACTGTAGGGGATTTCGAGTATATAGCGGTATAGCGATAGCGAATATTGCGATCTCTTGTTGAATTTTAAAAGGAGAAGACGTTAATAAAAAAAAAAAAAAAAAAAAAAAAAAAAAAAAAAAAAAAAAAAAAAAAAAATAGGGGAGATAATAAGGAGAAGATAGCGTACCTTTAATCTAGCAAATATACGTACCAATTAGACGGAATACTTTATATAAATTTAGGGTTAGGGCGCTAGTAAATGCTTAGGCTAAAGCGATACTATATTCTAAATAGGCGAAGGGGCGGATATTACTAAAAAATAAAAAAAGAATAGCTAATTAAAAGTTAGTTATAAGCGTAAGGCGAGAGGAAGGAAAGGACGGGGCGAAAAGGAAGAAAATAAGGAGGAAAAGCGAATATACTAATTAAATTTATAAGGGAAATAGGAATTAATATATAAATATATAGTAGAAATATATATATTTATAATAGGGGGTAATTTAAATAAAGGGGTAAGCGAAGCGGCCATAAAGTTAAGGGAGGAAATAATAAATATAATTATAAAAGTAAGAATAGAAAGAAGAAAAAAGGAGAAGTAAAAAGGGTAAGTAGAAAGGATATTATATAAATAAGGAAAGAGGTCCCTATACAAATATAAATTAAAGTAAATAAATATAATTTAAAGTAGACAAATATAAAATAATATAAAGTAAATAGAGCGTTAGATAATTATATAAATAATAGGAGAGAGTAAATAGAAAGATAAAATGAGGATAATAATTAAAAAGGGAAGGATAGGACGAATAAATAATAGCGGCGGCTGTAAAAAAATAGAAAGGAAAAACGGAAAATAAGAAAATATATACTTTAAATTATAATAAAGAGAACGGGGGAAATAATTAAGAATTATACTATTAAAAAGGAAGGAGTAATATAAAGAATAAAATAAAGGTAATAGGAAGGCGATAAAGAAGGAATAATACAAGTGAGGGAAGTTTATAGAGGAAATAGTATATAAAGTTACAAGAGGCGGGGGACGGAAATAAAAATCCCGAAGACGGAACCTATAGGGAGGGGGATTGCATCTAAATATTATAATAAATTGTAATAAACGTAAATAATAGAGAATAGCTTACGAGAGGAACCTTAGGTTTTAATTGCGTAAATATTTTAAAATAAATGTAAATAACGGAAAGTACCCTATAAAAATATTAAACTATACTACAAATATAGATAACGGAAAATATCCGGGGAGAGGAATTATAAAGTATAATTATATTAATATCCTAAAATATTTATTAATACTTTTAAATTTAGAATAGTACTCTTCGTTGGGCAAAACGAAGTTTACTACCTTATACGCCTATAAGATAATAATCTTAGTAACGGTCGGGAACCCCGCCAATACTTTAAATTTAATATTGGTTTCGTATCCGCGTTAGAATTTATGAGAATGGACATTACAATACTAATATTCTAACGGGCGGCACACTAATACTTCTATTAAATCTAGTACCAGTTTTGTATCTATATTAGAATTTATAAAAATAGATATTACAATACCGATATTCTAATGGGCGGTACGCTAACGCTTTAAATCTAATACCAGTTTTGTATCCGTATTAGAATTTATAAGAATAGACATTACAATGCCGATATTCTAGCGGGCGGCACGCTAACGCTTTAAATTTAATATTAATTTCGTATCCGTATTAGAATTTATAAGAATAAACATTACAATACCGATATTCTAGTAGGCAGTACGCTAGTACTTTAAATCTAATGCCGGTTTCGTATCTACGTTAGAGTTTATAAGAATAGATATTATAATATTAATATTCTAACGGGCGGAACGCTAACTCTTTAGACCTAATACCGGCTTCGGGGCCGTACTAGAATTTATAAGAATAGACATTACAATACCGATACTCTAGTAGGCGGCTTACTAGTAGCAGAGCAGTTACAATCCGGAATATAATATTAGCGGCTATAGCGAGTAATGCCCAACAATACTATAGTACCCGGCGTTTATTATAGAAGTTCTAAGGACGGAACTTATAAGGGGGGGGGTTGTATTAGGAGGCTAAGAGCCCGTATATAAAAGCACCTTAGCGGTTACTACTCCCCTTCGTTAACTAAAGTATAGAATTATTTATAATAACGCCTATATTGGGTCAGACTCGCGGGAAGGATAATCTAGCACTATACTAAAGCGCTAGATTAGTATAAGGCTCTATAATACTCATTAGCAGATGAATAGAGTTTGTATAGGTATAAAAGAGGTTTAACGGAACGTATCTCATTATAATCGGTAGCTATTAATATATCTTTAAATTAACCCCTAACTTGCCGTCCCCTACGTGTGGCTACGACCGTAGTTACCTCAGCCTACCTTTCGCCTACATTCCTAACATAACGGTACAAATTGAAAATTCCCGTTAAGTAAGAAGACTATAAATATATTCTACTTAATTATTTATAATAGTAAGACGGATTTTAATAAAAGCAACTATAGAGGCAATTAGAAGGTAACTACAGTACTCGAGATTTATAGGGGTAATAATATAGAGATTCTCACTGTCGCTAAATACGTACTTAAATTTAAATTTAAATAAACAATCGCGTATAGTCTTCTTAGAGCTACGACAAAGGCGGGCAATCTCTTTAAGGATAGGGTAGTTGCGGTATTTAACATATTCGTATTATAATTAACTAGAAACGAACTTACTATTACGAATATAAAATCGCTACTTTATCAACCCTATACGATGGCAGTAATAGAAGTCGTAGACTATTTTGGCAAGCGCCTATTCCTCTATAGGACCGACGTAAAAGAGCTTATTATTTTCGTCGATCGACTATACTAACTTATCGGTTTAAGGAGGCTCTAGCTAGCTCTCATCGTCGCCCGCAACAGTATAAAAATTAATTATAAATAAGAATTAAAATAACTACAATACTACAAAGCGGTTAATAATTAATATTAACTACAATACAAGTACCTTACTATTGGTTGCTTAATTAAGCGTAGTCGATTTGGCGGGTATGGCGGTAGTCGGGTTGGGGGTATATGGTTGTTATATTGTACAGCGATAAAATATAGCCTTGACTGTATAGGAAAATATCGTATATTAAAATCGTTGAATTTTATTGATATTTCGTTAGATATTATATAATATTTAAAAAGTGGGTTTTACTATACAAAACGAGGGACTTTACATGTCAGCTATCATCGGCTGACATGTGGGGAAAAAGGGGTGCGTGAAGTCAAAATAGGGTGCGCGAGGACATTGGGGACGGTGCGGCAAGTTAAGCTCTAAAAAAAAGAACCAAAGATGAAGGAGAAAGAAAAGAGAAGATAGCAGTGCGATGCAACTACGAGGTTGGCAAACAACCACTTCCATCTCATAGCTTTCTTCCCCAGGCCGGTAGCGATGATATTCTTGATATCACACTATCAACAAACCACAGGCACAACACTTATTGTGCACCATACCATCCTCGTAAGCCACTAGCTTACAGGTAAAGATGAAAATAAGCCTTGGAATACCTCCAATACTCGGAGAGCCCGACAGGAATCTCTCCATCCTCACCTCCGATTTTGCCCGCTGACATCAGGTCCTTCATCCAGTCGTAGCTGGTGGCATGGTGGTCTTCATCCTCATCCTCACACACACTATCCTCAACCGCATCTTCCACGGTCCAACCCACCCGCAGGGCTTCGGCTTCGGATTGAAGTTCATCCAGCAACCCTTCGATCCCCTCGATGCAGTTCTTGGTCAATTGCCTGGCGTCGGCGTTGGTCATGATGATCTGATTGAAAGCCAGCCGGCAAGGTTCGGCCGACAATTCGTGCTTCTCTTCATCGAGATCGGGAGGGACCAGTTGCTTAAACAAGTAGCGGCAGATGTCGAGGCTGAGTCTGACGTCCGGCTTCTCTTCGGGGTCCTGCGCTTCGTTGTTCGGCTGTGAGCCTTCAGCTCCCTTGTTACACTCCTTTGTGAGCTTTCGGTCTGGATCATCAGGGTCAGCCAGAGCCATGTTGTTAATGACCCCCTGCTCGATCTCCGGATCAAGATAAATATCACCCGCAGATTTCTCCTCCCGCTTCCGCTCCTCCTCTTGCACCCGCCCATCCACCACCTCTTCCCCCCTCTGCATCTCCATTATCCTCCCCAAAATCGCATCATAGTACTTCATCCACGACTGCGCCTCCCGCCTTCTCAACTCCTGTATTCCTCTGATAGGACAGTTCTCACAACATATCTTACAGCACGGGACCAAAGGAGGAACAGGGCCAAAGTTATTCAAGAAAATAGACACATCCAAGTCTCGATCTTGCTGCCGTACACTGCCCGGCTCGCGCAAAACTTTGTTGGTATTTGCTGGCGAATTCTCATCATCCAGAGCAGCCAGTTCCGCCTTGGTGATACTTACCCACTGCTTGATCAAGTCGAGGTAGTGGATCCAGTACTTGACTTCTTCGCCTTCTGCACGCATGTCCTCTAGGGGACTGTGAGGCCAGATGTGGCGGTAACTGCTGCTGTGCTCGCCGCCGTGGCAGCAGGGGAGAGTATCGGGGAAGCGAGCGAGGGAGTTGAGGAAGGAGAGGAGGGCTTGGGTTGTGTCTGCGCTGTTAACCCCAGTGTAGAGTTTCTTGATTTGAAGCAGGGCGGTTTTGTGGAATTGGCGACGATCCAATTGTGTGGGGTCGATTGGCTGCGTTGCTGGGGAGGAGGGGGATGAGCAGGTAGGGGCAGGAGCAGCCGGGGTAGTTTCCTGCTGTTTCTGTTGAAGGGTTTTCACTCCCTCTTGCTTTTGGGTCTGCTTTGCCATTTGCTTTTCCTTCTTCCTCGACTTGGAAGGCATGGTTGCTGATTTCGAAGTCAGGTGTTTGCGTTGGTGCGTGATGCTATTCTCGAGTCAGAAAGACGAGTTGCGATGGAACGAAGAATGTATTGAAAGGGGACGCAGGAGCGAGTTTTTACATTGAGATATGTATGAAGGAGGCCGGTTGGTGTTCGTAATCTTGGGGCAGAGAGTAGAGCTAGTGAATTCTGGTGATGGCAGAGAAAGGAGGGGTTATGTTGAAGAGTCAGGGTGAGAAAGAGTAGGCTTTGCGTGGGGAGAATCCAGGCAGGATCCTCGAGGAATATTGCCAGAAACTGAAAATTGAGGCGGGAGAAGTGATTACCGTTGAACGCAAATGATGGGAAATACAGGAAAAGAAACTGTATCTCATTAGTCACAAAGGACAACGAGCGAGACAAAGTGACGGTGTGGTGAGGGCGATGGGACAGGAGAAAGAAGGAGAAGCGGAGGAAGTTTGGAAAGGGGGAGGCCCCCTTCTTATACCCAAGAACGGATCCACCCTGATTGTAGTTTTCTCTGTGGGAGAGATGGGATGAGCGAAGAGATGAAGCATATAAAACGCAGAAAGAGGTTTCATGTTGTTAAGTCACTTTGGAAGAATGAAGGGTGGTATTGTCGGAGTCTCAATAAGGGGTTTTTTTTTTAGGAGACAATGTGCCAATAAGGATGGTCATAGTCAATGGCATGTTACCAAATGAGTTCGTGGTGAAGACAGCCGTGCAGCGATAAGGTTGCGGGAGGTTTTGATGTCGGACAACGAGTTTTACACGAGTGAATCGTTGAGGTCCGTCGAAGAGGTCGGCAGGTACATGTATACCTAACGAAGGAGCCGCCCGTCCATCTTCGAATATCGGAGGCCCGGCTTGCTGAACTGACCCCTTTTCACCAGACCACTATCAAGGATCAGATCCAGCAACCTGGAAATAGACATAACCAAGTTGCACGTCTTGGCCAATCCCAAAGATAGCCTCTGCTCCCTGTAAGATATTCAATGTTAAGAAGGAAAAGGAAAGTAAACAAACGCTGGCAAAGCAGAATGCCATCTACCCAACATGAACTCAGCTCGTAAGAGAAAGACAACCAACGAGCGTGGTTTGAACCCCGCGCCCGAGCCAAAGTTCGGAACTCCAGCTCCCACTGACCATGATGGTTTAGACGACAAAGCTCGCCTTTGCTAGGATGGAGCATAGTGCTCTATTGAATATTAGAAACGACTGATAATCAACGTGGATAGAAGGGGGCAACCAAAATCCGATGGGGGAGCCGCATAGAGTGTACTTGCAATTGCATCCATGGATGGTTCACCACGGTAACGACTCGTCTGCTAGCGAGCGGTTTGGTTTGGTACATGTCTAGAATCCACGTCCGAAGCGGCGATTGTGGAACACCAGCATCAAACCGGTCGACTGGCGGTAAATTGTTTGGGTTGTTGACCACACTGCCATGCATGAAGGTTAGGCCGCCGTCAGAGTCCAGGTACTCTGCCCTCGGCTCCATCCGCTGCAAGTCTTTGCTAACGGTAAACATTAACTCATCCTGCACCTAACCTCTACTTCTAATAATCAAGAAGACATCCACCTTGCTCTTGGATACGGAACAATTCAGCATCTTTCCGCTTCCCTGCTCGGCTCTCAAGACATGACTATCTTCATTGTCAGCCAGCTCAGAGGCCGAAAGCACCTGCGGTTGCTAAAACCGGGGTCGGAATTGTACTTACCGATGGCGTGCGTACGCTCGTAGTCTCTGAGGCAGGGGAAGCTGGAACGGTGAGGACAGCAACAGACTCTTGGGCGATTTCTTCAACCACCACGATCGACAGAGTCAAGATAGACACCACCGTGGTAGAGTTCTTGGCACTGATATAGGTGACAGTTGTCACTTTGAGAGTAACCGGCTTGTCTCCATCAACCAAGATATTTGCAACTGAGGGGGACGACGTGGGAGGCGGGACCGTTCTATCACTCCCGGTTGCCGCTGACACCATGGCCAACAAGAAGCATGATAAAACGAAGAAGAGAGACATCATCTTGTCGGTTTCTGAAAATCCGCAGTTGGTCACATGCCCAACAACAGTTTATTCGAGCATACCCCAATGTACTCATCCTACCACCCAACCTGGTCGTCCAGACCTTTACCGAACTTCGGGAATTCCTCCCAGACCTAGATCTTCGGGTCCAGTTCAAATATCCCAGTCAGATGAAGGAGGGGGACGACCGCCAGATGCAAACGCTGGTCCAGAAAACGTTTGATAACCTTATGCAGGACTGCGTCAATTTGGAGTAAATCAGGCTGGCTACCGCGTGAGAATCTTGCGCTTCTCACGGTCGGACTAAACTTGATCTGGAGGAAATAAGGTATACAGACAACATCCGACAGAGGCCGACGAGCTCGCGGGTGAGCGTACGGGCAGCCACACGGAGGTCTTCGGCGTTGGCAAGGCTCTCTGGGGTGCGGGTAAGGGCCGCAACGCTATCCTAAAACGTTTGGACACTACCGTGTATCACGGGGGGGAGTCGAACACACGACGGCTGCCAGTGTCATTGCAAGCGCTGTAAAGTCCGGTATCTGCATCCAACAATATCCGTCAGATTACTACGAGAAGGATTAATGTGGTAGGGGAGGACTTACTCGTACCCTTGAATGCCAACGGGATGAGAACATCGGATAGGGTTGAATTGTCGGATTCAGTCAAACAGGTCGGTGGTGGCTGGCTGCAAAGTATTCAAAAAGAATGACGGATGTGGAAAAGACGATGGATGGAAAGAGGGGTGCTGCATCTTAGTCATGGAAAGAAAACAGATACCAAATACGTAAAGTTCCAAAACGGTCGTAAATGTCAAGACGCTATGGAAGCACACTTCGACATTAGATGTTCCGAAGAAATCGAGAAAAATATCAGGCTAGAATGGAGGGCGCGACGCGTTGAAAAATGAAGTTTGCGTACGAGACTTTTCGTCTGATAAATTTCTTTGCGTTAAATGGCATTGAGATGTGTGAGAAAAGACAGGCAATTAACTCCTTAAATCCCGAAAGGTCACTGAAAGGACGACTGGTTAGATGACCTGAGCTGTCCTCCGACCTGCGAACACTCGATCAGTATAAAGAGGAAGGAGCTCAGTGGCACACTCCACACTTTCCCCTCATCCTCAGATGCTGCCCGCCCATGTTGTACTGCACAAACATGGACGGATATCCAAACTGAGGCTCTACAAGGAGCCATTTCTCTCCAAGCCCCTGGGAGGCAGCAGCTGGAAATCAGCGGAGCTTCCGCTAACGAGCTTGCCGTTGCCATTGGCGAGCTCTTGTGGACCACTCCTCTTAGTGGTACTAATGGAGGCACCTCTACTGTGCCACCTCCTTCAAAGAAGGCTGGTAAAGCAAAGGCCCAGGCCCAGGCAGTATATGTGGCTGTCCGGCTGGTTGGGTTTAAACTCAACCAAGAAAGAGGCAACTTTTATGCCATCAACACCACGCAAGAGACTTGGACCATCCAAGCTCTCCCAGGCACCGTTAGTCCGTACGTTGCGTGGTATAAGGAATGGACCGGATATCCTGTCCAACAAAATGACAAAAAGAAGAAACGAGACGCCCAATGGACATTGAGATGTCGACATGGCTGCCCTCGCTTTCGGTCGAGCTCACTCGGCGGAAGAAGGCGCTCGCGCGGAGGGACGGCCGCGCCCGCCCACACCCAGGGTTTTTTTTTTGCCCAACATGCGGTTATCAGCAGATACCACTAGCCGAACGAGAAGGTCGCCCACCTCCACCAGAAAACGAGAAACTCAAATGACCCTATTGCGAAAAGGAATACACACAAGAACACAATCTAAAAACACACATAAGCACCTACTACGCGTATATACCGGCTATCCCGATAAACCTCCAATTATCCTTATATCACCTATATCTCTCTATTCTAACATCAACTAGAAGCCCTCCCTCTAACCCTGTCAAGAACCAGGTTTGCAAGAAGAGAGAAAGATCCCTTGCACTCCTTGCGTTACTAGAGCCGAGAAAAACCCCGGACAAAAGTGCCACAACCAGTAGGTACTTACAAGAAGGTAATTCTGCTGCAAAACGTTAGAAGTCGGGTTGTGTATCAGACTTGACTACCTCACACTCAGGCCGTTTTCGTTACCTGTGCGTGGGGTCTGCAAAACTTTACAGAAAAATAAGGGGACAACCACATTCAAACCGAAAAATTGGAGAAAGTCTATAAACCCTCCAAGAAAAATCGATCTGGTTGATATCAACTGCTTGCATGAAATGTGGTGGAATAAGTGGTTGAGCCGCGAAGAGTGCGTGTTCAAGTCCCGCGCTAACGAACTTTCCATTCAGGATGCTTTGTGTGATGGAGGATCGAAAGAGCTGCACTATCATGTCATGATCACAAACGACACAAGGTGCTATATATATCTAGTAACTTGTCTCTGCATGCGCTGCACGCGGTGGATATCAAGTTCAAGCATCGGATATTCGAGGAAAGTGTCTGTTGGGGACACGAGAGAGAAACCCTGTCAAGAGAAGTCAGAGTTCAGTTCGCCACTACAAAGTCGCGGACAAGCGACAGTTGTTACGTAGGGACGTTTTAGGAGTCAGGGATAAATGGAGTTACTCGCACTTGGAAGCACTAATGCCTGACTCAAAGTTATTGCTTGCTACTCTGTGTTGTTGGCGTCGTTGATGCTTGATCTGCAACTGGAAATTTTACGTTGGTCTGACTTTGGTCCCTAACTTCAAATTAATTGTGAATTTAAGATACGCCCTGGTACCCATTCTCTCTCCCTCTATTAATCCAGCGTCAAGTTTGAGCCATATCAACACCAACCTCGTCGCCCATCTAGCCAGTGGTCCGAACAAGCACGCCCACCATGGCCATGGCGCCTGGTTCCCAGAAAATTATGCCCCTCGACCAGGACGCCCGAACACAAAATGGCATTGCCCCATCATTGGATGCGATCGAGCCTTCGGGCTGCAAGCGACCCAAAAGAAACATCGGTGTATGTATAGATGGTGATATATACGCGTGGATGAGGTGTGACAAGCTGTTGGAGGTGGACATATGAATAACAGGATTATACAAAAATGAAAAGAATAGAAGAACAGTAACTTTGGCTGCCTGTGATTGGTCGACGGGAGTGCCGTGGAGAGAACGAATGCCAGTGAATGGGTGTCAAGGTATGTACGCCTCCCACACAAAAGTCAAGACGGCAGAGGGAGGAATTATTTGAGGGAGACCAGCTAGAGAACTGGAGGGGTGGGAAGAAGAGGCCCCTTGTGTTAGAGTTCCAATCATTTGCATATGGTAATACAATCCAGAGTGGACGAACTCGAGCCCATAACAACACAAGTCGAACGAGGCAGGGGCGGCTTCGAATAGTGCCTACCTCTACAGACACTTCAACACGGAGGAATCCCACGGCAGCTGGACACTCAAAATATCGGCTTTATGATGCCAGTGGCCAGTGAACCACCACTCAAGCAGCCGCCATCGCCCTCACCATGATGGCCCAAGTTTTATGATTTCACTTCACTGTCTTTTGGTCTATCCGCAGCCCGGATTTCTGACCATGACAGATGTTGAGCAAGGGCGGGCTAATAGAATGAGCCAGCCACTCGTCTCCGTCACCAAGAATGAGCGGAAAACTCCGTGATGAAATATGTTGGTCGACAGTTGTGGAATTTAGTATGGATCTTTTCCTCCATGAAGATTCGCATATAAACGACCACGTCAACATCGTCGCTTTACACTGCGTAGGTAGCAAAACGAAATTATGAACTCATAAACATGACATCAACCATTTGCACATGCCGTTGGCTTACACATGGACGGCCACGTAAAAACCCTCTATCTATTTCTCTTTTAGTAGTCAATCCCATGTCCCGCTTGGTAGGCGCCTTCTTCCCAGTCGAAGCCATGAGGTTCAAAAGGACGGTGCCGCTAACCGCCCACATAACGCCACTCAATTCCAACGCCATGGTTCAAACCTCCATCCAATTCTCCTCCTATTCTAGACACAATGACTCAAACAGAAAAACTGCCCCAAACGACTCCCTTCAGCACATCTGTCCAGCTTCCTCAACTGCAACGCATACCTCTAGCCATGCTCCCAACTCATACAGTAGGTAATCGTAGTCCAACATAGCCCCAATCGGGCCCTCACCTCGGCCAACCTCTTTCTTACGCACTCCTGTCCATATCCCTGTCCCACAACTTATTCATCTTTCTGACCACATTCCTCCTCTTTCTTTCCATCCTCTTCAGCTCTTGCTCGGCGTACTCCTTGGTCTGCTTTACCTTCTCTGCATCTTTTTCCAGGCGGGACATTTGCCTCACGAGTCTCGCCATGCGCCTATCTCTTTGCTTCGCCAAATTTGCTGTAGTGCTGACGCCGGCAGTTGTGGCAGTGGTGGTAGTAGCAGCGGAAACGGAAGTGGAAGTAGTAGTTGCGCAGTCGGCTAGTGTGCCATTCAACGCGTTGCTGACTCGGTCTACCATGGGGCGGACGCTGACTCTAGCGGTCCTCTTCTTGTTCTCTGGGCTCATCACCGAATTCCCCTTTTTATTGTTTCTCTTGGTAGGGGAAGAAGAGGCGTTGGTATCTGGGGCGGCGAGTGACATGGAAGAAAAGTCCGAGCCGTCGGGAGAGATGGCGAAAGAGAGAGAGGGATTATTGGTCCCAAGACCAACAGGAGGTGAGTAAGGTTCGGGAGAAGGGGAAAATGATGAGAAATGTGCGACGTCAGTACCTGAAAAGTGGGCAGATGAAGCAACAAGACCAGAGACCGGGTGAGAAGTAGCAGCAGCAGAACCCGGAGCGGGAGCAGCATGAGAGCCCGTAGCGGTGGCGGTACGCAACGGGATACCATAACCATTGGCTTGCGAGCTTCTCAATCGCCCCTGCGCACTTGCTGGCACGATAGGAACCGGCACAGCATTCTGGCTACGTCGAGCCGGTTGACTGCCAAACAACTGCTGCCTCGCAAACCCTGGGATTATCGGCAAGGGAATCGGCGTTGTGCTCAGTTTCTTGGTCCACTCCTTAGGTATCGGTTCACGCGAGGGCGCCCGCGCTCTTCTACGGGGCGATGATCCCGTATATGCGTCAGGACGCGCCCGCGTGGCCTCCTTCGCGGCTCTGGAGGGAAGCTGTCTCCGAGGAAGAGGGCAGGGGGACTCGGGTTCTTCTTCTGAGACAGCGGGAGACGGTTTTGATGACTCGATGGAAGGGGAGCCAGGTAGAATTTGACTCCTCTCCGTGAAAAACTCGATGGATCGGTTAACCGAGTCTCCATTGAAAAAGTTGTTGCTGTCTCTGTCGTCTGTGATATCCCATTCATCGTCGTCACTCGATGACTGCGTCATGTGATCATCTGAGCTTTCATCGTCGGACTGCACATAGCTGCGGACATCATTGCCATAGAGAACTGGAGGTGGTAGTAGGGCTGCGTTCCAAGCAGCAACACTAGCTTCTTCAGTTCCCATCCAGAATAATCCACTGGAGTGCCCAATGCATTGAACCAACCCTCCAGGTTCCGCTTTCTGTACGTTGTCCTGACATTCGCGGTGTACAAACAGCCTGCAACAATGTGAGAGGGTAAGATCTCCCCCTTGAATGTCGCGAAAGCAGAGAGCGCACTGCCGGTTGGGGTAACAGGCTGTGCCGTTGACGGCGTAGTGAAAAGCGGTGCTAAAGTGGAAGACTGCCTGTACTTCCTTGAACAACAGAGCTTGCTGCCATCTGAGAGGCTCGGGGCAATCCAGTACGTAGCGAATAACGTACACAATGTGGCCACAGATGCGGTTTTTGCGGCTTACTTCCTCTCGCTGAAGATCATAATAGTCAGCAACATGGTATCAGTTCAGGAACAAGATGTGGAACTTACGCTGAGCCGACAACTGCACCTAGAAACCCTGCCAATGATGACATGGAACGTCTCAATCGAAGAAGGGTCCCATAAAGTAAACCTCTTCTCGATCGAGGTATTGTTGCTGTTGTCCTCGACCGAGACGATCAAATATCTGTTGTTATGAGCGTGGTAGAGTGCGCCGACATAGAGAGGAGGCTCGCCGCAGTGCCAGGGAACGATCCGCTGTTCACCAGCGGGGTGAAGTTGGGAATATTTGTGGAGGCGGTTGAGAACTTCCACTACGTGGCCAGTAGGATCAAGACCCCGCTTCACGCATTGGGCTCGGAGGGCTTCGACAGGGTCACGGTAAACTGTCCAGGGTGCGTCGTCGGGTAGATACTCGATAAGATCTTCTTTCGAACGAATCTCCATGGTTTGTACTGGAGTTGAGAGGTGAGTCGTGGGCGTGTGTTGAGACTTGGGAGGGAGGTGGCGTATCTGATAGTATGATGACCGGATAGCGACTGCAGCTGACTGCGATTGCAAGTAGAGAAGAGACGCCTGGCAAGAAAGGCAGCGACGATGGTCAGGCGACGGAAAGAAAGCGACTATCGAGCTTCGTTTGTTGTTGTGGGGAGAAGGAGGACCGACAAGCGCCCGTCGCGTGAAGAAGTTTAGGTAAGCTCTGGACTTGAGTAGGGGGGGACGGCCGTCAGGAGACAAGTGAATGGAAAGCGATGCTGAGCACGAGCCCACCGACGAGTTCTCTACCGCCGCGCATCAGAACTTGATGTACGCTGCTGCGATATCCAAGACCAAGTTGGTCGCACGTCAAGCTTCATGCAAGGCAGAAACATGCGCCCTTGGTCGAAATCCGTTCCGGCCTGTCTGAGCCTGCGCCAACTACTCCTTCCCAAATCTCCGAAATTTAGCTGAATGGCACCGCAAACTCATTCTACCTATTGGTTCCTCACGATAGAATTATCATCTGCTAACCGCGGAGACGTTGGGTGCAATGTACCATGGAGTGTCGAAGAGTTGGTCAGAGCAGATAAGGTGCTGATATAGGGAATTCAGCATGAAAGGAGTTCGTGTGACGGCCTTCCTGTCACCTTCCTTGGATTACCTTCCCCATGTATTTGGATACCAATCAACGCATGGTTTTTCCTTTCTTCTGGATTCATCCCATACGTGCTCGTCTGTCCACAGACAATTAACAACCCACTCAAGTTACGACTGTTCGACACTGAAGAAGGTGAACCCCAGGGAATGGATTCATGAAGCAAAGAAAAAAAGCAACAGCAAAGAAACGACAAGGAAAGGAAAACGAAAAAGACAAACCTTGGGCCCGCCCACAAGGAAATGTGATCTAAGCTCCCTGAAGCAATGTCGAACCTGTCAGATGCTTGAAGAACTACTTTTCCTTTTCGTGGAAATCATCTTGTTTCGGAGAAGGTCGCTTGACTACCAGTCTTGAATTTGCGACGCCACTGGACATCAATTATCCAGTTATCAAATACTGATGCCTCTGGACATCTTCTCCTGAGCCATCAAAACTTTGACCCGTATTAAGTCAGTTTTGGCCCTTGTCACCTCTACCGAACCAGAAGCAGAGAGTCACTTGGCGCCGTCCGTTACTGGTGACATTGGCGGTAGCAATCCAGTAGCGGTAGAGGCTTGGTCGGCGTTTCCCTTTTGCTCGTCGACGCCATCACGTCCTGTTGATCGTTGTTGCATTCCTCGAAATTAGAGCCATCCTCCAACTCCAGCTCGCCATCCTCAAGCCAAAAGGCAGTGTCGTAAACGTCCTCCATCTCGTGATCCTCGGCGTCTTATATTGCCTTTGCAAAGCCTTTCTCCATCTTAGTCCGATTTTCTTGATGAAGCGAACACTCGTCATCCCCCGTCACCGGACTCCAACCCGGCCGACTAACTCGTCTTACCACGCTGCGACACGAACGGTAAACAGGCAGGCCGTTGGAACTACAAGGCCCCGTTGTCCTTCCCCAACACTGAATCGGAAACAAATCATGCAGATCTAGTCCCCGTGAATATCATGGCAGGTGAGGTATTGCAGACGGATCTTGGGCTCCCGCGACCAACTAGCGAAAGGGAGATAAATGCCGTAGCGGTCAATCAGCTCAAGAACGGTGCTGTACCGGAAGATGTTGACTCGTCCGTCGAAGAGAAGCGCGGCTTGGAAGCGCAGGGGACTCGGGCAGCAGAGAATGTACTTCGGAATGTAGATGATGTGCGGACAGGTCCACTTTCTGCAGCCGGCGTATGTCTTGTGTTCTACATATTCGCCCAATCATCATCAGCAGTCGCGCAAAGATCCTTCAAGCGCACCAGCAAGATTGAATCGCTCACATACCTGGGAAGCCCAGTGAACAGTCGGGTTTTTGCCGATTGTAACTTAGGCGTGATTCGTCATATGTGTACCGCTCCCGCCAACAAGATGGAAATGGCTCTCGATCCTCCCCAAGTAGCTGTGGTCGAGTCCTCTACACGCTCGATTGTTTGCGCGCAAGCCTCGGTCTTTGCTCTGGTGTAGGAATGCTCTGGGCAACGCGCCAGGGGAGAAGGGCACGCTCTTCGCGCTTGTGGCGCTGGTGATAGGTCTCGAGTCGGAAGCGTAACTCGTTGGCATCGTCTACTGGGGAGAGAGACCGTCGGAGGTATTGTTCTCGGAGAACCACAAAGGGATAGGCGCTCTAGGGCGTGTTTGCGGTGCTCGAGTTAGTAGGCAGGTAACGAGCAATGGTGATGTGGAAGAAGAACCGAAGCTTTTAGCAAGGTACACTACCGTAGATGGCCGCAATGGATTTGTTGCGTGGACACCCCAGAAAGAGCAGCGCGGATGAGGTTGTTGAAGTGGGTTGTTGGGTTGGAACCCGAATGAAGGTGCAGAATGTTGCAGGGAGAGTTGCAGGAGGAAAGTCCGCAGGAAATGGGAGTTGTGCACAGAGATCTACGCGTCAGGCCGTTACCGTATTGCATGTATCATGTTGAAATTAATTCCAGATCGTGACCTTTCGGTCTTCTTCCATGGGCGCTCATTTGGTTCATGGGATGGTCGTCGATAATTCTCTCTGAAAGCCCGAACTCCAGGTTCGCGGATCCAAGTGCGTGGTCAAGGTCGACAAAAACGGCCACTGTCTGCCATGTCACATCTCCAGAGGCTCAGACATGTCGCCTGACACTCGGCTGTTGACACGGCATCACAACCAGATGGTGAAGGAATAGTGAGGAAACCTTCACTGAAGAATGTGAACGACGTGTTTTCAACCAAATACTGCCTATCTACATGCGCTCTTGGTCCCTTCCGATGCGGCAATTACCACCATCAACTCGACTTCTCCTCAGCTCTGGGCCAATCTTTCTAACATACACAATCTTGCATCAGCATCAAGCCATTTGTCCTCGAGCCCTGTGACGTGTTGCGTGAAAGTATACCTTCAACGAATACTGCTTTCACTCTCACCCTGAACATGATAAAGCCGCTTCCATTCCTTCCATCCAAGCAACATTCAAGCGCCATACCCCATACGTCTTATTCGAAACCTTTAGCCTTCCCGTCCTTCCGCTTCAAGCCAACAGCTCGCTTTCTTGCCGCGGCAAGTTCTCTCATGTATAAGCATCTTTTATCCATCAACACTTGCGTTCCTCTTTCAGGCATGTGATTCCGGAGTAGTCCGTTATGCCCATATGCCTCCTTTTTTTCCCTCGTTTTGTTTCGTCCATCATTTGTGTCTTCTCGACTTATACTCGTAGTTAAGCATTGCTGCCAGCTTGGTCTCGTGAAGGGATTTGTCCATGTGTTCTTTGTCTATCCACTTTTCAGGTTCGCTTTGGGGGCTACACACCCACTGAGGACAAGCCCAGTGCTTCTCGTCTTCACAGAGAACGCAAATGTTGGGCTGGCTAGGCTTTCTGACACTATTGAAGATTTCGAGACACTCTTCGTGAGCCATATGACCACATTTCGTGCATTCCTGGAGTGGAATGGAGCCGGCCACCTGGAAGCAGATGACGCACGCTGGGGAAGGGACAACGTTCACTTGAGGCACCCGCCCTGGGTTTTGGTTGGGGAAAAAGTAGAAAAAAGGGTTGGCGGCAAAGATGTAATCCAGCTCCTCCAGAAGAAACGCATTTTGCTAAAGGAGCGGTTCCGGGCAGCGAAGAACGTGGCGGAGAACGTAAAGGATATGCTCGCAACTTCGTCTTCCATTGACTTCGATGGTCTGGGAACGTTGGTAAGCTATTATATCTAGCTCAGGTAGTGACTCAAGTGCGGGCGGGATAACTAACCTTGGCTGTGCAGCCGCATGTGGGGCTCTTGCGAATTATAACGGTAAAGAGACCCAAACGTCTGGTGTAGAGGGTGAATCGCTTCTCAAGCCAACGCCCCCACGAACCCACATAGCTTTCGTCCACGACCCGGATTAACTGACACCTGGTCCTGGTCGCACTGGCGAGTATCCACACTTCATCAGGAGTAAGTCGCCAAGGCACACCTCGATCTTCGTTCTCGTCTTTGTGTGCTTGTTGGTATTCCTTTAGGCGTTGCTGGAGTGCTGGAACGTCACGATCGTCCAGAAGTCCACGCCTCAAACAATGGGTCCTGAGAGCCTCGGCATTGGTGACTTTTTCCCACGGTACGTCGTGGGGACAATAATTAATGTATCTGGTGAAAGGATTAGAGACTGAAAAGCCTTGGGTGTGTTCTGGGTTCGTGGACTGCATTTTGGCTTCGATTATGGGTGATGTATGTTTGATGATTGATAAGAGTCTGGTCTTGAAGATATCGACGGGTACATCTGTCGAGTGGAGGAAGAAGAAAATGAAGGCGAATTAGATAGGATTTGCATTCGGGCATGTTCTCTATTCTTAAGTATCCAGAAAGAAACAACGCAAAGATTCTGGACGAAGCTCAAAGGCAAGGACGATGCTGAGCGCAGAGGCAGCAACACGGGCGTCGGTTGTAGTCCCGAGAAAGATGACCGTGGGGGCGACGAGGGAGGGCGGCAATCAGAAGCCACCTGCATTTGCATGCTGACACTACAGGTAGGGTGAGAAGGAGCAAGCTTGAGTAACCAAGCGAATAGTTGTGGAAAGAAACCGAGCATGTCACGGTTAGTACAATAGACCTTTGGTAGGTACGTAGAGGCATACTCACATTGCCGACCTGAGCAGATTTGTCATATCTTTGAACCTGACTTCCTGTAAATTGTTGAAAGAAACAATTGACAATTCCCAAGGCAAGTGACTCTGCTTGATGCATGTTCAAAGCATAGAATGTAATCCCTTTCAGTTTCGTAACGGTCTTTTTGACCCACACCAAGGCGTTCCTGCACTATCTGTGTTCGGTTTGCTTTGACAACCACATGGGTAGGCAACCCACCGCCGGGGTGGTCATGAAGAGGAAGTGGAACCTGGGAGCAAAGCGATTTCTTTCTCAATATCATTTTCTTCTCAATTTTCCTTTTTTCCCCTCTCGCTGTCTTCTTGTTAAGGCACTTTCCGACATATCTATTTGCTGGCGGATCCTCAGTTCCCCGTACATTCTCATGTCGAAGCCACGGGGGTCTGCTCAACATCACCCCCCATATCTTACCATTACTTCAATAATACATGTACAAAACCCGACAATCTACCTCAACAATTTGTAGATTCTCATCTCAGATATTCCCCCATGAATCTCTCACAGTGCGTGAGGTTATGGCATCATCACTCGCTCCGGCCTCTCTTTCCCATAAGAGCATCAAGCGCTCAAGCCCTTGCAAGGTGGGTACTCGCACAACTCCAAAATACCTATCATATCATGTTGAACAAGCAAATAATAGCCACGTTTTGCCTCGAAAGATTCCGCTCTCTAGAGTAGTCGCGGTCAGCCCAAACTGCTCAGGCATCATCACAGCCTTCTTTCTCCCCACGCAAGTCTTTTGCTTTCTTCTCAAGCTTCTTGCTTTTCTTCATCAGCCTCTTGAGCGCTCGCTTGCTCTTCTTTCTGAGATTTTTGATCTCCTTTTTATGCTTCTTGTTGAGTTTCTGATGCTCGTGCTTGGCACGCTTCCGCATCTCAGCTAATTCCTTTTTCATATGGTTGCGATCTTGGACTAGTTTGGCTGAGCCCTTGTTGCTGATGTTGGCGTTCGTGGTGGCCGAAGCGGAATTTCCGACGAGAGCAGTACCGGAAGTCGGAGCTAGAGCGGTATCGGGAGGAGCAGCAGAAGTTGGAGCTGGAGCGGTATTAGGGACAGGATCCATGCTGATGGAAGAAATATGGTTGGCCTGTTGGCTTGAGGGCTTGCCGGAGTGTTCGCCGTGCGATGAGCTCAAGTCTTCGGTCGTAACACGCTCGTTTGGCTGCTGAGCGGTATTTCCACCTGGTCCCGGTAGTGTCTGAGGGGCAGCTTTGGTGCCAGGGACAATTAGAGGATGCTGAACCTGTCCAGGCTCACAGTATTTGTCAATAGTCCATTCAGTCTCGTCCTCGCATCTCCAGCATTGCTCTTCCTTGGCCAGTGCTCTCGCTTTCTGTGCAACACCCACACATTCGGTGTGCATCGTTCTCCCGCACGTGACGCAACAGGTCGAATGCCCTTCTGTGGGAACAACGGCCTTGAAGCACAGAGCACAGAGAGGATTTTGACCTATGCAATTGGTAAGAAGCCGGGTGCTAACGGCGTAGCTGTGGCGGTAGATGTCCTCGATCTCAGTGGAGAGAAAGGACTCTTGCCAGCGGAGAGGCTCAGGGCAGTTGAGGACATAGCGAAGAACATCTGCAGCGTTACGTTAGCGATCCTATGAAGGATAGCTCAACCTTGTTTTGTAAGAGAGGCATTGTGTTATACTAACAGACTATGTGGACACAACTATACCTGCATCCTCTGCCGGTACAACTAGGTACACGACCAAAATTAACATTGATAAGTTTGTCCCCGTCGTGGGTCACATGGAAGTGCTTGTAATGATTGCCTCCGTGTTGACTAATTTTGTTTTCGACATATAAAATCCGGAGCTTCGTACGACCCGCCAATTGCAAAGCGTGTTCATAAGGTCGTCCACACAATAAAACACTCGGTTGATTTTGCCAGAAGTCCCATCTTTCTTCAGCACTGAAGTTCTTTTGATAATGATCTAGTCGCTTGATCATCTCTAAACGGCTGCCCTGGACTGAAATGTTGCGCGCTGCACACCGTTTTCTCAGAGTTGAAAGCGGGAGTTCTTCCCAAGGAGCATCATCTGGTCGCCAATCTGCAGGCAGGGTACGCTCCATGGTCATTGTCCGAGAGCGAGGTGATCCCAGAAAGAAAGAGCGGGGATGCTGAACGGAGGGAGGAGCGGGAAAATGAATCGAACAATCCTGTATTGAAATACCGGAAAGATGAGAGCGTTGTGGTTCCAGACGGAAAGGTCGTGGTGGAATATTGAAGCTGGTTGTGTCAGTCGCGGGGTAGAAGAGAAAACATGGATCCCACGAAAGAATTCTTGCACGGCGGGGAGAGGCCGAGAGGGAGATGGGTGGTGTGAGAGAGAACAAATCTGCAAGAGCACCGGGACCAAAAAGTTAGCCGCGTCGACGCGTCACACCTTCGAACGCAGGGACACTGGACTTGCTCAAAGGAAAGAGCTCCGGAACCGACGGGTACCAGTGTGACGTCTCGAAGCATACCTCTAGACGTACTCATTGGGCTGCTATATGCTGGTATTTACACACGATACTACACAATCCTCCTCCAGGTTTCTTCATCCCCTCAAAATCCCGCTCCTTAATGTAATCGAAATTCATGATACTGTTGTAACTTGCGCCTGCCTCGTACCTACATGCGTTTCATCTGCCATTCTTGTTGAATAGACAGGCCCAAGCACTAGATACTTCTTTATCTCCTTATTACATTACTCGACAAGTGTCGTCTGTTTCTTTACGAGACAGCCTTCCTGCAAGCGAGATATCCTCCATTTTCTGCCCAGCAGCCCCCCCCCCCCCGCCCTCCTCAGCGTCCTGTTCTGCCAAGCCCATCAACTGCTTCTTGAGGTTCTTGTTCTTCCTTTTGAGCCTCTTTACCCAACCCTCAATGTATGAGAAAAGTCAGGCGTCTTCCGTACACTTTTCTGAACCATGGTACCCTACTCGAACAACAAACCGAATTTTCCCTCACGCAGCAGCCTCCTAGACTACTCCGGGCCCGCCAAAGCCTTTAACACTTCCTTCTCCAAGCTCTCGATCTTTTTCTCGAGCCGCTTTACTTCCTTCTTGCTCTTCCTCTTGGTTTTCTCCAGCTCCCGCCTGTGCTTCTTCTCCATATTCGTAATCTTCTTCAGATCCCGCCTGTGCTTCTTTTCCATCCTCTTCGCCTCGCGCTCCGATTTCTTCCGAATTTGGGTAGATTTCTTCGCCAAACGACTGCACTCCTGAACGAGATCCAACGCTTTGGTGTGGTCAATAGTGGTTTGCGTACCAGAGTGAGCATGCGTGGGACCGGAAGTAGAATGATCAGTAGGAACAGGTGCAGAAGCACTTGTAGGATTCTCGGTGGTAATGCTGGTAGTGTCCTGAGCACCGGTAGCATCGGCAGATTCAGTTGTACTAGCAGTTGTAACACTGACTTGGGGGGGCTGGGACTTACCGCCTCCAACTGGGACATCGCGAGCAGAAATAGAGGTGGCGCCCCCTTGATCGCGCTGAGGAGTAGCGGTTGTAGCTGTGCAAACAGAAGTCTCGGCAGCTGAAGAGCATGCGCGAGGAGAAGTAGGATCCTCAGCGGGAACTATCGCGGCATTAGGAGCAGGGGCGACTTCTGATGGTTCCATATTACCTCCGCCGGGATTCACAGCAGAAAGGATATGATCCGGGGCGGGAGACAGGTTTGGAAGAGCAGCTTGGTGTCTCTCGTTCTCCTGTCGTTGCTGCTCGCGTGTTTTCTGCGTTTCCTGCCAAATAAGCGCTGGATTACCCGGGAGTGGGGTAGGTTCGTTGTTCGGACTGGATGTGCTCAGTGCTGCGCCTTTCTTGCTGAGCTTAAGTGTTATGATTTTGCTTTTCCGGTGTCCCTGTCGAAGGCCGTCAACGAGGTAAGGCACTACCTGGTTGACGGTGGATTTCAGAGCAGGAGAAGTGCTGGATGAGGGCGGCTTTGAAGACAGAACAGAGGGAAAGCGTCGGTTAGTACTCTGAGTGTTGCTGAGTTGTCTTTTCTTGGAGTCTTTGTTGCTTAATAAGCTCGAGGTTTTGGAGACATCATCCTTTGGCTCTTTGTGCTGGATTAACTCTCTGGCAGCCTCTGCCGCCGAATAAGTTCGTGCTGGTACAGGAGGTGTGATGCGATGAGCAGCAGGTAAACCCCGATTTTTCCAACAGAACTTCTCAATGTTCCATTTGATATCTTCGTAACAGATCCAGCACATGCCCTTTCTCACGGGTATTCTTACCCATTCGGCGTTCTGTCTGCACACGTGATGCATTACTCTTGTGCACTTCTCGCATTGGTTCATCCATCTGTGAGTTGCGTCGTGATCTCGAAAACAGAAGATGCAGAAGCTATTATGGGTCTCTGGGGTCAATGGACCGAGGGCGCGGCTAGCGTGGCTGTGCTGGTAGATCGTTCGAAGTTCGGAGGGCAGCAAAGCTCTCTGCCAGCTGTAAGGCTCCGGGCAGTTGAGAACAAACCGCAGGACATCTGCATCAGGTCAGTTAAGGGCTGTTTGACCAATTGTTCATCCAAGAGAACAAATATAGGTGAAACATACAGACTGTGTGGACACAAGGGTCATCCAGCTAGAGAAGGTCAGTGAATGTCTTGAGCCAGAGCATTCTTTGTCAGGAATAGAACTGTGGAGGCACTTACTAAACATTTTGGACAATCACAATGGAGAACAGTATCAATTGAAACCGTGACAGGCTCTCGCTTCTCCCAGCTATGACTATTCCACAGCGGTTTATCGCAGATCTCAAAATCCCTTCTTAAACTGTCCCTTCTGGGACCAGGTTTGTCCACAACCCGTACAACTTGTAACCTCGCTTTTCCTGCCGCTAACGCGGCTATCTCATACGATGCGCGGTTTACAGGCTCCGTTAGCCAAGGGTGATGACGTTTGGTGTCAGACGTCTTCATTTTAGCTTGACTATAGGCTGAGAGACGTTGTACGAGATCCTTTGAGTGTCCCGTGGTGGGCAAATTGCGGATAGTGCATTGTTTCTTCAATACGGCCGTGGAGAGCGTCGCCCAAGGCGCGTCATTGGGCAACCACTCCTCAAGTGGATGCGGCATGGTCGCAGTTCCTTCGCAGTCGAAGCGGCTACTGTAAGTAAGTTATTGAAATGCAAGACGGGGCAGCGCGCTCGGAGATTAGTGGAAGTGATTAATGACGTGCGACATTCGAAGCGGCTACCGTGAGTAAATTATCGAATGACCGCACGGGGTAGCGGGCTTGACGATAAATGAAAGTGGTAAACGACGTGCTACAGTCAAAGTGCCTGTGAGGTGGACTTTCGACGTGGTGGTGCCGCGGTTGCAAGAGTAAAAGAGATTGCCCACTCCGTTAGGTGAGAAGAACTCGAAGGAAATTTGGCTGCTGATGCCATGATCATTCACTCACCTTGGGGTCCCCCTCGAGATCAGCCCGATGGTCTGGTCCCGGATTATCTTCGGGGCGATTCTTCCGGGTCGCAGTCCGAAACACGCGCTCGTCTTACCGTACGGAGAGGAGGGAGATGGAACTTCCGGTTAATGGGCTGTCCGTTAACTTACCAACGGGACCTTGAACGTCTGGAGTTTCGATCTGTCAATTGACCGGAAGCTGCACCCCCTCCTCCCCGTACGCTATTTCAATTGATGTATTCCTGATGAGCACTAAGTACTCACTGAAGATGCAACTCCCTATTATATTACACAATTCTCTTCAACATGTATCCATTCCTTCGAGATCAGATAATCTATGAGGAAATCATAGCCCCAGTTTAGAACAATGAGAGAGGATCGTCTTCTCACCATATATCCCCCATGACTTCCAAGCCAGTGGCTCATACATTGAACACAAGTAATTAATCCAACACTTTCAGACATGGACCGGTTTCCATCATTGCCCTCGCATCCTTTCCACTATGGGTACTTGGCACCAGGTCTCAACATCATCCTACTTTTCACACTTGGTATAACATATCTTCTCACTGCCCTCTAGTATTTCTTGATATGGTCGAACATCGACGTACCGTCATGGCCCTTATCGATGCTTCTGTAAATCCCACAGCGGGTCACTCAGCAGAACTCTCCTCAGTATGTCTGGGCTCCGCTTCAGCTTTCTTCTGTAGCTTTCTCCCCTTTCTTGTCAGCTTCTTCAGCTCTCGCTTCGCTTTCTTCTTGATCTTCCTCTTCTCCTTTAGCTCCTGCTTGTGCTGCTTCTTAATAGCTTTCAGCTCCTGTTTTGACTCCTTTGCCAAACGCTCAAATATCTGCTTTAGCTCTGCCACTTTTCGCTGATGATTTTGGATTCTGGTCCTGATTGTAGAAGGAGAGTTGCTGGCGGTGGCGGTTTCATTATCGGCAAAAGAACCAGCAGCAGGTCGAGCACCGGAAGTTGGCGACTGGGATGTACTGACTGGAGCAGCAGGAGGCGAGGCATTAGCTGAGATGCCTGCAGGTTTGCTGTTTAGGATAGACAGTTGACGGTCGACACTGTTAGCAGGCTTATCCGAAATGGATGGAGTATACCTCGCCCCATCTTCAATGATTGGTTTAAATCGAATGGAAACCGGCGAGTTCGGCTGAAGAGACAGGTCAGTAGGCAGGGACAGGCTGTTGTTTCGGGTAGCAACCTGTGTATGTTGTTGTTGCTGCTTTTTCTGTTTTTGTTCCTTCCACGCAAATGCTATAGCCGGGAGTGGAACAGGCGTATGACTCTGTGGAACAGGTGCGCTCATCCGCACATTTGCAGTTTTTGGTCGAATCGGCTGGGTTGAAGGAACGGAAGGAGGGGGCCAACTCCGCGATTCGATGGACACCTGTTGTCCATCAGTTTTATGGGAGGTAGGTTGACATCTCGGTTGCTGATAATGTGGAGAGTATGACGCTTCTTTTTTGCCGAAGAGCTGGCTAGGAGATGAAAGATCGGATAAAGAAGATATTGAAGACACGTCGGAGGAAGAACAATGGCTGAGATTGCGGGTTTTGTTATCGAGTTGTTCGTCACCGACGTCTTCGTGGCTTAATGAACCTCGCTCTTCATCTTTGAACAAAGTCTGGAAAGAGTGTTGGCCAACTTTCTTTGCTTGTTGAGACACCGCCGGAGTAACGGTCGTGTTGACGGGAACAGCCGGCCGAGCCTTGCTCTGCTCAGAGTATTTCTCGACTCCCCACTCAGCTCTGTCCTCGCAGATATAGCACTGGCCATCTTGGAACGGTTGCCTTACTCGCTTGACGGCGCCAACACAGGCGGTGTGTATTGCTCTCCCACATTGACTGCATGTGACGTACGTCGTACTTAAATTTGGATCTCGAAGTTCTTTAAAGCAGATAGTGCATTGATCATTGGGGTTCTCCCAGCCCGTGGTATGGAGAGTATGGAGGACGTGGCTGTGGCGATAAATGGATTCCAGTTCGGAGGATAGAAAGGCGTCCTGCCAACAATAGTGTTCGGGGCTGTTGAGCACGAAGCGCATGACATCTGTGGGGGTGTGTCAGATAATGCCAACAACGTATTGATCCAGGAAGTTTATGGGGATAACAAACAAGTCATGTGGACGCAAGTGATATTTACGTATCGAAAGTGAGCGGTCTATGATCCGTTAGTGGTGCCCTGGCGCGAAGCTTTATTGTCGCAATAGGCTGGCCAAGGAAACCAACTTACACCAGCGTGACAAGTACAAGCAGGCTCTTTGGAGAATGAAAGGGTAAAGAGTGCACCCTCCTCGTCGGTGATGGTAAAGTGCTTGTTGAGGTACCGACCTGACCCACTCATATCTTCTATCCTTACAATCTGAAAGGTCGCGCTCTCTGCCTCCTTCCAATGCTTTTTGTAGTCGGCGGGATGGCGAGGCTGCGACAGCCAGGGAGAGCGTCGTCTGTCAGATATGTTGTCGTGCTTGTAGGTCAAGAGACGCTGGAGTAATTCGGGAAAATCACCGGTGGTCGCAAGGTCCCGCATTGCGCATTGCTGCTGCAGTACTCCGTGGCTGAGTTCACTCCAAGGCGCATCGTTCGGTAGCCACCCCACGAGAGAGCGCACCATGATCGTGTGGATGTGGAGAGTTTCTTCGAGAAAGGAAAGATGAAAGAAAAGACAAGCTTGAATAAAGTGATGGGCGAAGTACGAGAGCGACGGTTTCGGTTATAGAAGCAAGTAGCAGTGGTAATGCTGCAAAGGAGAAACACAGGCATAAATTCCTGGGTGGATAGTCAAGATTGAGGGACTTGAGCGTACGCGTGCTGCCGCCAGCGCGACCATGAACGACTTACCGGTAACTTCCACTTGAGCTCACCTCCAGATTCACCTCAAGTGCACGGTCCCGGAAATTTTGCAGGCCGAGTCACCAGTTTATCTGGTTGTAATTCAGGGAAGGAACGACTTCAAGAAGCTTGACGGGTAGACACACCGTTCTTAGCGGCTTGCCTCCTCACCTGGCACTCGTCAAGATCCCTCTTACGCAATTTCCTACTTCATACATAGTAACTCTTGCCTGCCGCCACTCCTGCATCCTCCACGTAATTCCAACCCCAACTGGGCTGCATGAGCTCCGGTTACTGGGCATCTTTCTGTAGTTCATTGGTGTAAATGGCAACATCCCTGAAGCCGGGGTGGAATGATTCCCCTTCTAATTGAGGTCCCTGAGGGAGATATTGGTTCTAATTCGATACAGGCCACACTTCTTTTGAATCTTTCTTTGCGTCATGATTATTCCTTAAGGACGAATAACTCAGGACAAAGGATGATGGATAGGGTATGTGTCTCAAGAAGCAAGTGATGGAGGGTCGCTTAATTACGAAACTTGTGTCGAGACTATCATCTCTCCTTTTAATTGTCTGGGCGTCCGTCCTTGCTACATGCAATCTCCTGTTCTGTCTAAATGTATTGACACTATGCCCATCATCATTGAACATGTCACAGTTCTTCAGTATCAAACAGGTTATCTGACATCCAGGTCTCCGTCATGACCATGCTGGTACAAATCGAGACTTAGCATCACTTAGAACCCTCCCATTTCTCCCAACTGCCGACGAAATCCCCATTCCTCTTGAGGCCTTCCCGTACATGTGAACCAGAGTCTCCCACTCTCCTTCAACAAGTTCCCTGTCGTTGGCTCTAGAACCTCAGTCCAAATCCTTCAACTTCTCCTCGAGCTTTTCTCTCTGATGCTTGAGTGCCTTCATATCATGCTCCCATTTCTTCTCGATTCTCATGTACTTGATCTTGCGCTTCTCCTTAAGCTTCATGAGCTCTATCTTGTACTCCCTGTCAATCTTATCCATTCCGCGTTTCAAGTGCTTCTCAATGCGAGCCGATTTCCTTTCGAGATGACGGCACTTCCGCACCAACCTGGCTGCTTGCTTTTTGAGAACATCGGTATCTGGGTTACTAACTGGCGAAGAACAACCGAGATCACCTGGGATGTCGTCAGTAGAAACAGGAGGAGCGGTCTGGGCAGTGACGGCTGCAGTGGTGGCAGCAGAATTGTGAGCATCAACGCCATTAGCTGAGAGGACCGGTGTCGGGCCGGCTTGTTCAGGAGTGTTGGCGTGAGGGGCAGAGGCGTTCGAGTTCGGATGGTGAATTGAAGGAACAGAAGACAAGAACTTGGCCGAAGCCGGATTACAGTCCTGAGAAACACTTTGTGGTGACTTTTGTGCTTGCTCTTGTGCCTCATGCTGCTTCAGCTCCAGACGCATAGGCTCCGAGTTACTTGTGGGCGGAGCGGACGTGCTTCTTTGCAGGGATACAGCAGCTGCGGGATTTGGGCCCTTGAGTTGAGGGAGTATATCTTTAGACGTAGAGGCTTGTTGAGTATGAGGAGGGATCAGGAGCTCTTGTTCGTTGGTAGTGGACTGAGAAGGAGTCGGAAGGTTGGATGAAGAGGAGGAGAGTAATGAAGGCGATTGAGAAGGACGTTGGCTGACCTCTGGCTTGTCGTTAACTTGAGTGTTTCTGTCGGCTTGTTTCTTGGATGAGCTCGAGCTTCCCACGCCATGATCATCTTTCTCTTTGCGCTCAATAGATTGCTGAACAATATTCGCTGTCGGTGTAGGTACCTCCAGGGCAATAGTTGCGGTAGTGGTGGCGGCGGCTGGTACCTGATCCTTTCTACGGTTCTTTTTGATCTTCCACTCAGAGATATCCTTACAGATCCAGCAGCCATGGCGCAGTGTATTCATGTTTCTCACGTTCGCGACAGCTTTGGCGCAATCAACGTGAAATGCTCTACGGCATGATGATGACATACACCAGCCAACCGGTTGGGTGGCTAAACTCTTGAAGCAGCAGGCGCACAAAGCGCCCCAAGGGGGATTGTGACGAGCAAAAATAGTGCGGACAGCATGGCTTTGCAGGTAAATGACTTCAAGCTCGGAGGGCAGGAAGGCTGCTTGCCAACAAAGGGGTTCAGGGCAGTTAAGCACAACGAGGAGAAGATCTGTCAATCTTTCATCAGTAGTGGGATCAGGGTATTTGTGACAGTCAGAGTACGACGGGGTAGAGAACTGACACATAATGTGATCGCAATGGTACTGCAAGATTGAGGAGGTTAGCCAGATCTAAGCATTGAGTCACCAGCCGTAGATAAACATACCAACGTAGGTTGCGATGGACAGGTGCAGGACGGTATTTCTTTGAAGGCAACAACACAAGTTACTTTTTTCTCATCGCGAAGGGTAAAATCTTTCCATAACACCGTTCTGTCTAAGCTACTCCTGTCCTTTACCTGTGCAACTTGGTAAGGAAGTTTGTTCAAGCGCAAGCTTTTTTCTTCACGAGTAACGCGGCTTGGACTACGGCGCCAGGGGATCTTTCTGATTTCGGTGACGTGCTTCTTTGAGAAATTCTGCAGAAGGCGTATTTTGTTGTCACGGCTAATCTCTTCGCTAGGAATGTCGCGAATTAAGCATTGCCTGAGCAGCGACAGGTTGTCGAACTCTTCCCAATCGGCGTCATCGGGAAACCTTGTTAGGAGGGGATGCTCCTTCGTGTCCTCTGTCATTGCTGTCAGTTGAGGTGATCCAGCGGATGCAGAAATTGGGCATCAAGAACGTAGGTAGTGAGGCCACAGGAAAAATGGTGATGCAACGGCAGTGAAAGTTGTTGTACTGGTGCATGCGTGGTTCAAGTTGTGAGAGGAAGAGAGGAAGAAAACAAATCTGCCGCGTGCGCGGGGTCAAGAAATTGCGTAGGGAAAATGAAGTACCGCGCCCTGATCAGACGCGGGCCATTCCCTCAGCATGGGTTCACTCTGGACTCACTTCAGAGGTCCGGTCCTGGAGGTGCTTCGGACAGGTCGGAGACAGGTACATTCTCATCGAGGAGGGGTACTTATCTGTTCACTGGGCCACGTCACGTCTTGAAGCACGCTCTTGCCTCTTGGGAAGGAGCGACTGCAAGCATTAATTTCGGAAGAGGTCTCACCAATGGCATACCTTCCGCAGAGGAATGACGTTGGGGCATCTTGCGAATCAAGGAGTTTCCTGGGGGGTCCAGAAGAGGGAAAGAACTACCTCTTTGTCTTCTATCTATTTCATGTTCATATCTTTCTTGACCGCGGACCATTTTGATTCTGTACATGAATTGCCGATTGTCTGGTCCTTCCAAACTTCTGATATGTAACTCCTCTTGAATGCTTTGTTCTTCTACTCCTACACCTCCATACATATTTCCAGTTTCCATCTCTTAAGTCATTCGTCAAACAAACATTACCATTACACACTACTACCCCTTTATCTCTGGACATTACCTGACCTCACCAGCCTCACTTCTCACCACTTGCCTTGTTCCGCTTCGCCAGAGCCTTGGCCTTCTTCTCTAGGCGCTTGCTCTTCTTCGCGAGCCTCTTCAACTCGCGGTCCGCATGCTCACGGACATATGCTGACTCCCTAGCCAGGCTTTTGAGCTTGCGTGCCAACTTCGTTGCTTTTCTCTTCTCAATATTGCCGCTAACGCTGGCGCTGGCGCTGGCAGGAGTCGGGCTGGGAGCAGGAGAGCCAGCAGGTACATCAGGACTAGGAGCAGGAACATGGGGCGGAGGAACAGGTGCCTCGACAGTCTGGGGAACTGCGCTTGTAGCTGGAGCAACCGGTTCCTGGACAGAAGCGGCAGATGCACGCGCACGAGTCGCAGAAGCGCGAATCGCAGGGTTTTGAGGGCGATTGACTGCAGACGATAAAGCTTGAGAAGCACTGTTGGCTCCAGGTTGAGATCTTCCAGTTTCGAAGCTGTGGACAGCCTGCCGGGAATTTCGCTGCTGGATCTGCAACAAAGCCTGTGCCGGGATGACCGGTACTGGAACGGGAGTGATACTCTGAGCTGGAACATTGACCGGTTGGCTGCTTTCGGGCGCAGGAGCGGGCGTACGTCCCTGACTGCGACGAGGTGTGCGAGTCGGGGCTTCGGCGGCCGCGGCGAGGCTTTGTCGGACTAGACCGATGTCCTTGGCGGCTCTAGATGGTTGTTTGCGACGCAGCGGGGAGCTGGCGGGTTGTTGTTGCTGACGCTGACGGCACGGGGGTGAAGAGGGGAGTGGTAGGCCATGGGGAGAAGAGGATCTCTCTTGTTTGATCAAAATGGGGGGTGAGGGAGAGCGGCGCTGATTGATGGGCTGGCGAGGTGCATTGTTGGGCTGCTCGCTTCTGCGGGACGCTCCCTCGTCAGGATCCTCATCCGAGGAGTCTTCTTCGCTGGAGCTTTCATCGTCCTCCTCAGATGCGTCACTCGAAGAGCTTGAAACATCGGGGTTCAAGTCTACGCCAGCAACAGCACGTCCTGGCTCAATCACTCTTCTTTCAACACGCTCCTGGCGCGAGTGAAAGTTTTGCCATTCATGACGGTCCAGGCAGACCGTGCATATATGTGTTCCAGGTGTCTGTCTATTGCTGGTGAGAACGAAAAGGCAGGGTATGTGCAGCCCTATATCGCATGTAAGGCAAGACAGGTGATTTGCTTGGCCTTTGAAGCAGATTAGGCACAGTCCAGGGAAACCGGTGTACCGCTCGGGCGAATCCAGAGCCTTGACGGGGTGACTGCCTTCAAAGATGTCCAAGATCTCGGAGTCTAGAAACGCTCTTTGCCAACGGAGCGGCTCTGGGACGTTGAGAACGTACCGTAGAAGGTCTGCAGAGGAGTGTCAGTTGCCATCTTTGTGACATGCGATAGGTGGATGTAACGAACACATGATATGAACGCAGAGGGGCTATGAGGATATTTGGTTAGTAGGAATTCCGCAAACAATAAAGCATGACACAGGACACAATAAAGCAAGGGCAAGAAATTGTCTTACCAAGTACTCGATGCAGGTGCAAGTAGGGCGGTTGTCGAAAGTAACGGTAAAAAGCTCAGGGGCTCCTTCTTGCGCGATCAGGAATGCCTTTCCCCTGACGCGACCATCCTCAACCTGACCGGTAACATCTCTGACCTCTACAAGCCGGAGATTCTTAACTTGAGCTCGATTCAAAAGCCTCGAGTAGCTGGGCTCAAAGGGCCTGAACATCCAGGGCTCTGGCCTTGGCTTTTCCGGGAGTCTGGCGAGGTGGTATCTCAATAGACGCTCTTGAAGCTGCCTCTTTGTTTTTCCTTCGAATGGCAGGTTGCGTGCCGTACATTGTTGCCTGAGGACTCCGAGATTGTACTTCCGCCAAGGGGCGTCGTTCGGCAAGTAAGTTGACCTGGGTGCCTCCATTGTCGCTTTGTGCACTGTGGGTGCCCCTTTGGAGGAGGATTGGTGTTGGATATCCTATCCGATCAAGGAAGAAAAAGGTAACGTCCTGGACAATTTTGTGAGGCGGGAGTTTGGTGTGATGCGCTTAAAGTGGAAGATGTGGAAGCTCAAAGAAAAACCCACAGCAGGTTTTGTACGCGGGGGGTAGGGCCGTCCAAGTCCCGGGCTTCCAGTCTCAAGCCAGGCTGCCAGCTGCCACGATTACCGGCTCTCCCATTGCCCCAGGCAACCGGTCTGGGAGTATGTCCGGGAAGCACCCCGATCACTTGGGGGCCACCAGTGAATGGTGATGCCCACCGTTTCATCCCAACTGCATAGGACATGGTGAATGGCGGTAGACAACTGGACATGGCCGGACCAGAGTTGACACCCTTACTTTGTAGTCAACCGCCATCTCCCGGCTGAGTACCCTCCTGTTGGTTGAGTGGAGAGAAAGAGACTGGAATGAGCAAGTAGGCGTGAAGACTTGAAGCCGAAAACAACGTCTATTTCTAGTTTTCGCGATAGAAGTCTTTCCAACGCACACCAGGAGCCGTGTTCAAGATATCACATCTTGACAAAATCAGAGAAAACCACAGAACAAATATGATCCAACAAAAGAAAGAAAGAAGGAAAAAAAAAAAAAAAAAAAAAAAAAAAAAAAAAAAAAAAAAAAAAAAGACCAAAAAAACAAAGGAAACAAAAAAGGAAAAGCACTCCTCATTCGCTCCATTTTCGAGCTCTCCATTTTTCACACAACATCGCTGACCGCTCCCTCCTCTACCCCTTCTCTTCTTCTCGCCAAAGCCCTCTTCTCCGCCTTCTCCTTAATTTTCCGAATCTTCTTTTGAACTGTCTGATATCTTTGCGATTTTCTCTCGGCTTTTGTGTAGTAATAATCTGCCTCCCTCTCTAGATGCTCTAACTTTGCTTCAAGCCGCTTGAGATTGCGCGCTAGCCTGGCGGCCTTTCTGTCAGAGTTGTTGTTGTCATTTTTGTTGTTATTAGTATTATCAAGAGTGGCTGTGATGATTGTATTGGCACCGCTACCAGCAGCAGCAGGAGTAGCAGCCTGGACTTTGGCAGCCTGGACTTTGGCGGCCTGGATTTTGGCGGCCTGAGAAGTGGTGTCTAAAGCCGGGTAAGGTGGAGGATTTCTTTTCAGTCCTTTACCGACCACCGCCGACTGACCAAATCTCCCCCAAAGATCCTCAAATACCAGCTTCTTGGCGATGGGCGTCTGTGTTGTTGCTGCTCGGCGGCTTACCTCTACCCGGGCAGGGCCAGGGAGTTCCGAGACCCTTACCTCAGTGATGACGGGGCGAATGGCTCGCACCTTTGCCTGCGCCTGCTGCTGCTGTCTTTGTTGTTCATGTTTTTGCTCATCTTGTCGTTGTCGTTGCTCACTTTGCTCTTGTTGTTGTTGTTCTTTCTGTTCTCGTGCCTGCTGGTGCATCTCCTGCCAAATAAGCGCCGGGACCCCTGGGAGCGGCGTCGATGTGCACCTTTGCTGTGCTGCGCTGTGTGGCTCCTGCAGGATGGTCCTTCGCTCTATGGAGTCGGGTGATACAGCCTCCGATTGAATAGCACCTGTTATCGATCGGTCCGATCCGGCTTGTGCCCTGATGCTGGCTGGGGCGACGGAGGCGGGGGCGGGGACGGGGACAGGAATGGCAATGGCGGGCGAGACCTGAGACCGACCAAAGTACTTCCCAACGGCCAAGGCGGTCTTGTCCAAGCAGAGGAGGCATTGACTCGCTTGCGAAGGATCGCATTGTCTCTTCTTCCTCAAGGCTTTGAGGCAAAAAGGATGTGTTGGCAATCCGCACAAACTGCAAGGTACATTCAATTCATGCGTCTTATGCACAGCGAAACATATGACGCATTGCTTTCCCTGACGGTAACGGTCTGGCTTGACACGACTAAGGGCGGCGTGGCTTTTTTTGTATATGTATTCGAGTTCTGAAGTCAGGTAGGCTTCTTGCCAGAGAAGAAGCTCCGGGGTGTTGAAAACTTTGCGAAGGAGATCTGTATGCAGTATTACAATTAGCCTTTGTGCTTGGAAAGCAGCTCAGGGGTAGCGAAAGCCTGATCACGAACATTCGACATGGAGGCAGGGAAAATCTTGCCGAAAGTGTCTCTAAAAATAAAAAACCAAGTCAGCAAGGAGCTGTGGTTTGAGAGTGTATTCGAAGTGCAAGCCGCGTTTACTTACGCCACAAGAGCAAGACGGTTTATTGGTAAAGTCAATTTGAACGCGAGCAAAGGTTTCACTATCACCCTTATGGTTCGTGATTCGATGGGTCGCGAACGTGAAACGCATTTTGAAACAAACACGAAAGGTGCTCAAGTCCTCAACAAGTACTATAGGAAGTATTGGTTTTATCGAGCATCCGTACTCCGTCCTCCAGGAGGGATATGGGAAGTCCAGCCGCAAAGGACGAGGTCTGACCTCGGTGGTATGGGTGCGCTGGTAGTCGAGCAGTCGCTGTCCAAGCACGGACTTGGTACCGGAAACAGGAAGGTACCGCTTCGCACATTGTTTCTTCAAGTTGTCTTTCGAGAGCCACGTGAACGTGTCCCAAGGGAAGTCATCCGGTAGCCAGTCTGCGTGAATAATGCAACTCATGGTTCGGTGTTACGGCTCGTTTGCGGGCTCCTAGGTAATAATGAATAGCGCGTGTTGGCAAGTTGGTTTAAGAGCGAGTGTCCAAAAAGAAAAACGTCAACAACGCTTCAAGTACTAGCGACGGCGAGGTTCCGACAATGATAAGGTTGCGACGACGGCAGGGTTGGGGATGTGCACGATCAGCAATAGCGAAACGCGTTAATAGAAACTTAGGCAATTGAAAGCCAGTAATGAAATTGAAAGAATAGAGTATTTGCAATAGTTGAAATACCGACGAGATTCTGATATGGCGACGACGGTGAGTTTGCAGGGACGAAGGTGATGTTGCTGTGCTAAAACGCCGAGGTGGTGGCGACGACGAGGTTGCGTATGTAGGCACGCACGCACGAAAAATTGCGAGCGGGGAAACAATAAATCACGTGATCGAATGAGACTGAGCACGTTGGCTAGGCGGCCAATGATGAACAGGTTGGGATAAGTGCGGGTGTCAAGAAGCTAAAACCATAGGAAGTTGCGAGGACGGCGAGGCTGGGGATGTGGGCACGCATGCAGAAAGAACTTGCGGAGCGGAAAGCCAAACATCACGTGGAAGGCAAACGGGATGATTTGTCCGGACTGTTCCCGAGACGAGTCGTGACGAGTTTGGGAACAGATTGGGGATAGGTTGGGGATAAATCAGGGATAGATTAGGGATAGGTTAGGGATAGGTTGGGAATAGGTTTAGAATTGATCTAGAACTGATTTTGGATCGATTTAAAATATATTCAAAACCAGTTTTCAGGACCACTTCGTCTCGGCCCTCTCTAAAGTACTCTCGACATATGTTAGACATATGAACGACATATAGTAAAAGCTCGCGGATTTCGCAACCATCAATCTCCTCTAAATACCGGTTAGGGGGCAGATTTGTGTAGAATAAGCCTAAACCTATATATTTGAACCTCATCTATATTAGGATAGTAGGCAATATCCCCGAGTTATCGCCAATTGGACAGAACAGACATATATACTTGTATATACTAGGTTACGGGGTGCTATATTCTGCCTTACCGGGCGCTTAGGAAGAGGATCGACGGTTGCGGAAAGGTGGCCTGCGGTGGCCAGACCAGGAGACCCGGAGGCCGGGTTCGAAGGCCCAGAGGGTAACCGGGCGTACTAGACCTAGACCTCCGAACCACCTCCACGATCTAGCACTTGCCACGCCGTCATCAGACATAGGGCACGACACATGTGACAAAGGGGAAAGTTAACCCAAGGTGAGCAGACATCTCAGACACCAGAAGACAGGGAGACTCACCGAATCTGAGGTCCAAGGGCTACCAGACGTGTCTAAACCTCCGGACTACCGTTCCCGAGGTAATTTTTACCGCTGAGTCTTCCCAGACACTCGCCAATAGACCACGAGGAAGCAGAAGTCAACCCACGAGCAGTTGTTAGTTAGTCAGTCAGTTAGACAGGTAACAAAACAAGGCTCTCTCCCTCGAGGCTGTAACACTTGCCACTCCCATCTTCCTGGACACTCGCCAACAAATCACGAACAGGCAGCATCAGACCCATTCACACCACAGAAAACTATCAGTCCAAGGAGGTAGACAAGCCTCTGCCCCCAAGCTGCCCTTCATAATACGACACTTGCCACTCCCATCTTCACGAAGCCCACAACTCACCTCAAACCGCACCAAGAAGCAGAAGTAGACCTAAGACACCCATTAGTCAAAAATACAGACCAGACCAGACCATACCATACTCTTTCTCCGCTTCGAGGCTGCACATTGCGACATGTCACTAACCACGCCATCATCCTCGAGCTCATGTCCAACGTCCAACATCTAGTTCATGAACAAACAACCAGACGTTCAACCCGCTAGCCACAGTCCCAAGACATAACATGGATGGCACTTGCCAACCTTTACAGATCATCACGAGAATAACCACCCTACAATCATCCGCAACGAAAGAAACGTAGCCCAGGGCAGAGGAAGATAACGTGATGGAAAAAAAAGGAAGAAGGAGACGTAAAAGACCGGATCCACTCGTCATATTTGCCTGTTAACCATCGTGTACAAGATAAGACAAGACAACGCCCAACTAAAAGAATAGAGAAACCTAAACTTGGCCATGTTCCTTTCAACAACACTTTCTTTTTTTCTGACGCCTGCCAAGTGTAAGCACAAATGTGAGCATAAAGTGTAAAATGTTTCAAACGACCAGCCAGCCAGCACGAGTACCTCCTCATCCATTCATTTCGTACATTTCTTGTCCTCTCTCCTTTCAGAAATATCATCAGCTGTCTGTCTGTCTGTCTGTCCGCCAACTCGGCCCCCCACCCAATCAATGGTATATCATCCTCTTTCGTTTTCAAACATCAGTCAGACAAACAAAGGTGCGCCTCTACCACCCCAACATAGAATGCAGCCTAATCCCCTTAGGACCCAACTCACTATTTTTTTTTTGTATCTCGTTAGCATCATTCCCATCATCGCTTTCTTCTGCTGTCAAGTGTCAGGGAAGTACTCACTTATAATCAACCCTACTCAAACTCATATATCGCTGCATCTCCAACCCCTGCGCGTCAAAATTGTGTATGCAAAACGCCATCCGAGCGGCCACCTGCGCGCCAAGGAACATGGCTTCCTCGAATCCGTTCTTGGTCCACTCGCTCAAATACGTCGGCAGCTGCGCCAGCTTGATATTCGTCGGCGTCTGGCTGTGGAAGTGATGCTGACCCAGTTGACTTCCCTCCGCCCCTCCCTGGAATCCCTGGGCGCCGCCGGGTCCTACGTTAAGGTTTGCATTCGCAGCCGCGGCGGAAGTGGCGGCTTGTAGTAGCGAACCGGACTGCGCACCGCCGGGGCCGCTGGCGATAGGCGTGGAAGCCCCTCCTGGACCGGGCGTGCCGGCTGTGGGGGTGCCGATGTTGGAGGGCAGTTCGGAGGTGAAAATGGTTGCGCTCGAAGGGGAGATGAGGTGGCGGGCTTGTAGGGTTTGGAGAATGTTTTCCTTGAGACCGCGGATGCGAGCGCCGTTGCCGACGAAGACGAGGGATTCCCAGCAGGGAGGGCGCATGTACATGTCGTCGATAGACTGGACGGCGTTGTAGATGGCGGTGACGATACGGTCGATCTCGGCGCGGTCGGCGAACTCGAAGCGCTCGAGGCCGACTTCGATGTCTCGCCGGATGCGCTTGGTTTGGCGCTCGGTAGGGACGGGGCCTTCTGGTGTGGGAGGGGCGGGGGCAGCAGCGGGCTCGGGGGCCTTTGGCGCTTCGGCAGGCTGGGGCGCTTCGGTGGCGGGTTCTGGTGCGGGTTCGGATGGTTTCTCTTCGGGCTTCTTGTCCTCCGTAGCAGGGGCGTCAGGTTTTTGCTCCTCGGTCTTGGCTTCATCCTTGTTTTCCTCATCCTTCTTCTCGGCTCCTTCCGCTGGTGGTGCCGCGGGCGCATCAGCCATCTCAACATCCTTAGCACCCTCCGTCGTCGCTGGTACAGGCTGTGCGGCCGGTGCCGGTGCCGGTGCTGGCGGAGCAGGCTGAACAATCGGGACCTCCTCGGTAACGTACTCCTCAAAGTGGAAAACGTTCTTCACCCTCTTAGAGTTGGGCAACCTCATCGCTCTATTCGCCTCCGCCTCTTTGTCCTTGCCCTTCTTCTTCGCCTTCTCCTGCTTCTCCTTCTCCTTCTTGGCCAGGAACTCCCTGGTCTGACCTGTGGCCACGATATTCGCAACGTCGAGCACACCCTCATCATCCACCAAGTTTCCTTCAGCGTCGTAGATAGGTTCGTCAGCAACCGGTTCGACAATCTTCGGTCCTTCTGTCGTAGTGCCCGAAGCCGCTGCAGCGGCCGCCGCTCCGGTAGTAGTAGTAGTAGTAGTAGCAGCCGCAGCAAGAGGGACATCCTCGGTAGGGAGATCCATCAGCTTGGGCTTGTCCGGCGCGTAAGGCAGCACTTCGCAAATGTTACTCTTCTTCAGTTGTTCGGCCATGTCGCGGTTGAAGCCCTTGATCTTGTCCTTCAGTAGTTGCTGCAGTTTCCGTGTGAAGACCTCTCCACCACTGATTTCCCTCTCCTCATCTGCGCTGTTCTCTGGCCACCCCGCCCCAACATCCCGATGTGCCACGATCCTGCTGTCGTAGATACACGTCACGTCGACCTTCTCAAACCCGATATCGACAACTGTCATGTTGGGCCACTTGAGGCCGTACTGCGTCGCGATGGCGGAGTTGATCAGACACAGGGCGGGTGTCTTGGTCTTTTCGAATATGTAACGAGCCAAGGTTTCGCAGTCTGGGCGTGTCCATTGCGGAGAGGCCATGAGCATTATGGGCGTGTTGTGGTAGGTGGTGGTTAGGCTAGAGTGGACGTGTTCGAGGAAGGCGAGAAAGGCGTCCATTACGACGATGTGGCCACCTGGTATGGATGGATTTGTCAGTTCCTTTCCATTCCCTCCAACCAGCAGCAGACTAGTCAGTACTCACCCTGGATAGGGTAAACAGCCCCCTCGTCTGAGTCCTGGTCCTCGACATATTCCCACTCGTCTTCTTCCTTCTTTTCCCCTTCTGGCTTTGCTTCTTCTGTTTTCTGTTCTCCCTCGACCACGGGCGCAGGCACAGCGGCAGCCTTCTTCCTCTTAGAAGTATGGTAGGGCCTCCATTGGCCCGTCTCTTCGTCTCTAAACATGCGCGTCGGAAAACGGTGGGCGGGCGGACTGAGTTCTCCACAACCGAGCTGGGCCATGGTTGTCGAACTGCCAGGACAGATGACGAGGACTTGCTCTTCTCGCCATTTGCCTGTTTGGCCTGACATGGTGGTGGGTGAATTATTGTTGACTTTGCGTTAACTGTGTGTTTTGTTGGTGATGGTTGGAGCGTGTCGTACTCGATTGGTATTGCTGCTATTGTCGTAATGTAGATTACTTATGCGATCGGGGTAACTACGTTGTTGGGCTAATGGATAATGTCAAAATGTGGAGGGAGTGATGTTCCCGGACTGAAGCTGTCGCAAAGTCGCGAATGTTGACGGAGCTCTCTCGTTGGCGGCGCGGGCAAGCAGCTGTGCAGTGGGAAACGAGCGAGGTCGACGGGTGGGACGCGCTTTGGCTGCGAATTGGCGAGTCCAGTTGCCTGCCCGCGCTCAGGAATTTTGGGGAGCTTGGGACGCTGAGCCAAGCTCGCTTACGTAAGGCCATTCTCTTTCCTCAAGGCCCCACTATGTCACTAACATTGACTTTACCCCTGAACGTCGCCAGGGAAACGCCGTGACGTCGACGTCGTGACAGCCAGCCAGCGTTACATGATGCTATCACCAAAAGAACAGTATATGTGATTGCTCGTGAATTATTCTTCATCTTCAATACCTATGTCTGGTCGTCTTCAGGCAAAGTGAAATGAATGCTCAACTATGGATATTCAGCGTACCCGTTCGCCTTGTTCTGTGCACCTTTGCCTTCCTGTTCCCAGCCCTGCGATTCCCAGAGTTTCCCATCATCTGCATGGTCACGCCTCCAAAATATGTTCCAGGATGAAATCAAACAACTCCGCCAGCGTCGGCACCCGCCAACTCCCATGCGCATACATCTTATCCATCCTCGCCGCCGCATTCGGGTCAATCGCCATGCCCGTCTCCAAGAACACCTTCTCGGCGCCCGTCAACTCCCTATTCTCCGTCTCGAACCACTTCCTCTCCGCCTCCTCCTTGGCCTGCTTCAGCACCAGCTCCGTATTCTCAGCCTCCCACAAATTGCACTTGGTGCACTTGTCGCACTTCCTCCCATCGCCCTCCGGTCTGAAGTGGTCGCAAAAGTGCCTGTACCCCACGTCTGGGCCGTCCCCGTCCCCGCCAATGTCCTTTCGACAGACGTAGCACATCTTGTATCCGCACGGACAAGTGAGCTTGTTGCAGCCGGCTGTTTTGACAAAAGATGTATTGCAGCGGGGACAGACACGCTTGACGGCCATGCTCATGGCCTGCTCTACTTGTGTGCGCAAGGCGACGAGGGAGGACTCGTTGCAGACGTGTATGTCAACCCATTCTTTGCTGCATGAGAGACACGAGTTGCGTTGGCACTCGGGGTTTCGGCAGGTAAACTTGGATCCGCGACGGCGACGCTGGAGACGCTGGCGCGCGGCGTGATATTCTTGGGATAAGGGTATTACTATATCTTGCTTGTAACTTAGCAGGACCGTAATTATTCCGATTATCAGGACCAGAGGTAGTATGAAGGGAATGAACCCAATGCACAGGACAGCGAACATGAGCTGAAAGGCGTTCTTCCTAAGGGAGTGGTGAGGCAGTGGGTTAGGAGGCTCGTATATCTCGTTGACTTCGGCGTAGGAACAGAAAGGGCAGCGGACAAGTGGGAGTCCGCTGACTACGAGACTGTGCTCGGCTAGACGTTGCTCGAACTTGTGCATGATCCCGGCGCCCTTTTTGAACTCAAGCATGGCCCGGTGCATCTGTTCTTGAGAGATACACCCTTTGCACCCGCTTCCTTCAACAGCTGGACAACGTAGTGTGCCAGTTTCCGTATTAATGGTGGACTGCCAGCCTTGTCCGAACACGGCTTCCGAGAGGGTATGATGGATACAGCGAAAGCAGATGGTATGTCCGTCAACGTTGCATGACACAATCTCTTCGAACGTAGCTTCGGTAAAGCAGCACGAGCACTCAAACATGCTTTCTAGCGCCTCCGCCTCTTTAGTGTTGAGCTCTGCCGCTAAGATGTGGTCCTTGTCTTCCCTTTCCTGACGAGCCTGTTTGAGGATAGGAAGAATGAGTGCTTCGTAGAGCTCCTTATCTAGCTCGGCATTGCCCGTGGTCTTGATACAGGGCACAATAGAGCCCTTGCCAGATGATTTCCAGATAACAAGCGGGTGTGTTGCTGCCTCGGTGCCCGATACAGATTTTCTGCGTAGGAAGAGAGACGAGATGGCAAACCGCCAGGATTTGGACGAAAGGCTGACCAGCGTCGGACGGGCATCCGGGTACCAGTAATTGTTCTCGGCGAGGACTGCAGTGATGGTCGATCGGGACAATCCTTTGAACTCTTGCCATGCAAGTTTTTCGACTGCGCTTCTGTACTCCTTGCTTCGAAACTTGTGCCTTGAGGGGACCGAGACTGGCTCAGCTGTGGCTGGCACGTTGCGAGGCATCTCTTCGGCGGCTCTCCAGCGACCCTTGACCCAAGTAACCTTGTTTTGGATGAGAGCGTTTGCGACCAGGGCGAGTCTCGATTCGCCGTCGAAGCTGGAGAGCATCTCTCGGAAGACGTCTATCTGTATATCGGGGAAGACGGCGGAGAGGGCATCGAGAGAGGCGTTGAGTTCGTGGAGATCGGGAGCGTCTGGGGGTAACGGTAGGAGGTGCGCCTCGTCAGATATAAACTCCCGGTCGGGCTGAGGAGTGCTCGCATCGGAGCGTGCGCCCGGCATGATTGCGGTATGATTCGGCGCAAGAAGTTGGTAAGGCTGCGCGGGGTTCGTCCGGTCGGTATAGCAGTATGTCGTACCGATGGCGTAAGCTTGGGGCTGTGGATGGATATCTTGGTCGCGATGGTTACCGAATCAGGAGCTTCACTATGCTACTGCAGGTCAACAGTGTGGTCGTCAGGATCAGGTCCAACCATTGATGAGGTCCATGGCGCAAGCGCAACCGCGGTCTCGGTGTCGATGTTGTTGTGGCGTGAATATGGTTGGCTAGGTAGGTTTGGTCGTATGGTCGATAGTCTCGGTGTCGGTTGTGGTAACGAGTGGCGGGCTGAACCTTTCGACGAGAGTGAGGGGAGGCAGCTGATGGAAATGTCGGGTCAGGTCGAGCAAGAGAACTGATTGACATGGAAGAAGTTCCTGCCGTTCCCATCCGACTCCCTCAGCTGCTCACATGGTGGCAGAGGGGAAAGGAACACTCAAAGCGGGCAGTTGCTGTGACTGGCTGGCTGGAGGGGAAAAGAGTTGGCCGGACATCCAATCGCTCCTCTCGTCTCCCACGGAAATGACAGACAGCAAAACATAGTCATTACCTTTGTTACGTACCATCGTGTCCCGATATTCCGATATTCCTTGGTATTGCCGGCCCCGAGACAGTCCCGTGTACCTACACTAGACTATGCATCCGTTGGCCCCTAAAAGAGGGCGTGGATAGTGGATATAATTGTTAGTATATGTACAGGAAGGGAATTGGCGGGGCAGCCGGGGGGCACCTCAGCATTCCCCACCTTCGGCCCCGTTTTATTGACTTTTTTGACGTTACATTTGGGTTTTCTCAACTCAGAATCATCACCGCCTCCAGTAGCGCAGAGAACGGCAGAGTAGCGCAGACCAAAGCGGCGGCCACGATCAGGCACGCAGCCAAAAGAGCGGAGGTTACACTGGGCTTGCGGATCCGGCGATACATGTACTGCATGTCACTGGCCTTGCACGAGGCTAAAGAAACAAAAACAAAAAAAGGCGGAGGGAGGGATTCCATGCCGTGAGCCATGGTTCCACCGGACCACCCAGAGGAGGGCGATCATCGAGTAACGACACGAGGAAGAGGGGCTACCGAGTACATGCTTGCTCTAGTGTAGTGTGAGAGTACGAAAGGGGGGTTGTGCTTATGCAAGTCATGGTTGATGGTGTTGACCTCCCACTCAGCTACCTAGAACTAGCAGCTCCCCTTCTCGTCCACTCGGAACTGACTTGAGACTCTGACCGAGAGACCCAAATGGCTGGTTGGTTCCTCTTCCTCTCTGTACAATCTAACCCTGGTTTGTTTGTTAGTTTGGTACAAAAAACGCCCACTTCCACTCTCAGGCTACTAGAATGGAAAAGTGTTCGGGTTTTGAGCGGACGGGTACCGTCGGGGACTACTGTCTTATATCTTTTTAGTCTTTGAAGGCCTTAGAAGAAGACGGAGAGAGGCATAAGAAGGCTTATGTGGCGTTTTCAACCCTGGCTTTTGTCCCATGACGCTTCAAACGGAGGCCAATTTTCTCTTTGGGAGACCAATGAGAGGTTTAGATTTTCCCTGTTCAACCCATGGCCGAAGAACCAAACTAACAAACAAACCAGTATTGAATTGTACACTAGTAAAACCCAAGTCGCAACCCGGATCAGAGAGCGCAAAGCGGACGAACATGATCCCATCCTGCAACACAGATAGCCATCTGGCCACCCATCATGTATGTCTCAACCTTGTGTGATTGCAAGACGCAGCTGTTGATTCTCTTCGTTCCGATTGTGGTATCCTTTCCGGTTGGATGCTTTGGGATATCGGCCGGAGCAGTCCCTCCAGCTGAACTCACATCTTCCGGACTGAACAACTGGGACACGGATGCGGCGTAAAGGAGGCATTGAAGTATGACATTGAGAGGCAGAAAGCACCAAGCGAAAGGGGGGAATAACTACGGTTTATTTACCTGAAGCTCTCACCGACTTGTAGTTGCTAGGAACATGAAACGAAATAGCATAAACACCCCCACGAGACTGCATGACATCAAAGTGTCGAGATGAAGGCTGGGCTAAGCGATGGATGCCCCTCAAGGTGTACGCAAAACTCCTTCGGTGAGAGCCCAGAGTGGAGGTTGGGTTTCGCCATGCTCTTGTCCGCCAGTCTGCACGTCCTCGATCCATCATCAACCCCATCCAGCCAAGGAAAACGAGTCCCAAGAAATGCCCACGCGCGGGTTGACCACGGGCTACGGAGGGCTGTCTGCCTGTGGGATGCCAGCTTGCGTAACATACGGTTCGGTTCTCCATTATCTTCGTTTGTCGTGAAGCCTTCTCGCCGCCGGGAACGCCTGGGAAACTGGGGGTGAAATCCGTTTGTTGAACTCGCGGTGAAGCATCCCGGCCAGCATACCCGGGGGGTCCTGGTTACAACGCGTAGGATCGAAACGGCTGTTTTTGCTTTTTGGTGTTCCTCTGCACCACGAGAATAGCACACTGTCGGCGGTCCCCGCAAACATCCTCTCGCTCTCTTCAAGGATGTTGACGGCAGCTTACCTCATCTCACCTGTCACCTCTCGCCGACTTTCTTTGATCCGACAACCGATGAGCAAACCTGTCGAAAAATGCTCGCTGGAATACAGCATCGTCATGATTCACTTTCCATGTAGAGCGAGGGGATCGCCCGTCCGTGTCGACTCACAGGGCTGGAAGGGATGGCTCGCCAACCAAAGCAATGAAACCCTCCCCTTTCGGCCCTCCACCCCTCCTGAACCACAAAAAGCCACCATACACATACATTGCGGCCATGGTGGGTACACTTTTCTAGAAGCAGACCTGCATGTCAGCAAAGGCTTCCATCGCCATCCCACAGTGCAATACGTAGCATCACTGTCCCGTTGACAAAAGTGAGTGACCAGTACTCCTCACGTGCCATTCTGTGCTTTGCAGTCATCGGGCACTAGACTTAAACCACACAGGCGGGTGGTGGGCGGGCTGAGGCGGGTTCATGGGGACCAGCTTGGATTGGACAAGCGTCCAGTCATGGTGTTGCATTGCAATTCACCTCCAAACGTCGGTCAAGGAGAAAGAAAAAAAGACGAGGCAGAGGAAGAGAGGTTCAAGGTACGCGAGGCACAAGGTGTCCTCATTGCAGCATCCATCATCTCATCACACCTCACTGCCTGCTTGAACATCACACATCGCATCGGTAAGAACCTTGGATCGATCACACATACGGAATCACACCTCCTCTTTACCCATACCTTACTCGTGGTCCTTTTGTCCCAGGTCTGTTTACCTCCGTGACTCCGTAATTTCGTTCAACAAATGCTGTCCCATTCACACCGCCTTCCTACCGCTCATTCTTCCCTTCTATTCTGGGCTTTGCTGGGCAGGGAGTCTGAGCACCAACAACACGACTCACAAAGAAAACACGAGCGTGTTCTTCTCCTGTCCGCCCCCGGAATGGCAGGGTAAGGTACCTTTTTTCTTGAAGCAGCAATGTCTGAGCCGGGGCTCTGAATGTTTCCAAGTGGACGGCGGCGGGACCCAAGCAACGCTAAAGGGGGTGGGCGTGCCTGTGGTGGCTTGCAGCTTGGTTTGGCCTCCAGCCCGCCAATGCACCCAATGTTGACTCCCCTGTCTTCTCGGATGGACAGGACTGTGGTTGGGATGCCCAGTCAAAGCCCAGCAACATCGATTGGTGCCCCATGCTCCCCCAGTCCCCAGTACAGCTGCCCCAAGGGATGGCATGGGCTAGCATGGATGGCCCAGGATGGATAGGCTGGAATAGGGCTCGACGAATCTGAGGCCGTCCCTTGTCTTAAGCTCACCGACTTTAGAAGCCAACTGTGAAATCTTTCGGTATCAACGACACCAGGGCACCGTTCTTTGTTCTTGACAGATCGATCCAAACAGAGAAACCATGCAGCTGCAAATAACTCGGAACTACTCTTGCTAAATAAGGGGCGAATCACTCCCCTTTCCACTCTTCAGTACCCGGTTTCTATTTTGTTTCTCCAATTCCCCCCATGCACTCGTCCGTTGCCGGTCAACCCACACACCCGAACCGACAACTCGCGACTTATAAGTGACGACAATCAACAACCACCACCACACCACATACACCCACGCTTGTGTCAGCCGCCCCCAAGCCGCCTGAGCCTCACAACACACACACACACACACACACACACACACACATTCCATGACCGCTTTTTTGTCAACACCATCAACAAGACATATATAACAAGATACGACGTTATCCCATCTTGTCTCATCTGTCTACGAAAACATTCATCACATCATACAGTTAGCCAAAATGGATACTCTTCCCGCTGAACTGCTTCGACTCATCTTCGACAACTGCGACCCACCATCGGTACGAGCCCTCCGTCTCACTTGCGGTCGGCTAGCCGACGTAGGATACGACTACCTGCTCCCACCATCCTTCCGGGCCGTGGAATGGAAGGACGACGTCCAACGGTTACATTCGATCGCCCACCACGACCGCCTCAACCGGTCCATCAGCTCCATCACCTTCAACTTCTCCAAAGTTGACGAGTACAGCGCCCGCCATGCCTCCTTCTTCCAACACTGGCTGCAAGAGCCCGAAGAGCGGTCCATTCTCCTCCAAGATGCCTGGATCAAGTACTACGAGCTCGAAGGCAAAGCCCGCGACCTTCCACCGTTTCACACCCGCTCCGCCATGGTCGAGGAGTCCTTCAAGCGCCTGCCTAACCTCAAGGACCTCGAGATCACCTACACCAAATGCCCCTACGACATTGAAGTCTTCAAGGACGTCTTTCTGGTGCGCAACTGCCGCAAGCGCGATCCCACCTTCCGCGCGCAGACGTGCAAGAACATGAACGCCATCATCTCCGCCGTGCGACATGTCTCCCTCAACAGCCTCACCATCGACCAGCTCCCGCTCGAAATCTTCCGCCTCCCCGACGACCGTCGCCACTGGTTCGACTGCTGCGCCTCCTCCTTCTCGTCCCTTTCCAAGCTGGACCTGACCATCGACCCGCCAGCAAACCTGATGCCCCAGTCCCGCTTCAAGGCCATCAACGGCCTCGGCCATGTCCTTCAGCTCTCCCCCAACTTGACCCACCTCAGCCTATCCTTCCACACTTACCACGCCCCAATGCAAAAATTCGGCTTTTCTTTCCGCGCTCTTCTCCAGGACTTCACCTTTACCAAACTCACCTCCCTCAAACTCGAAGGCGTCTCCTGCTCCGAAGAAGATCTGCGCTCGTTCTTGCTGCGCCACGCCAAGACTCTCGAACGCTTGCGCCTGGGAGGCCGCGGGCTGGCTAAGCCTTATGAACTTTCCATTGGCGGCGTGCATCTCCACGAGGGGTCATTCCGCAGTCTGTTCGCTTCCCTGCAAGGAAAACTGCCGAAGCTGCAGCGCCTCCATTTGGAAGGGGATCTCGAAGCCGGCGATATTAGGACTGGCGCCAGAGCAAGGGAGACGTTCAAGTTCCATGCCAGCGTGGATGAGAACTGGGAGGACATGGATGGTCTAGACCATTTCGGCAGTAGGAGGGTCGTGCAAGAGGGGAAGACGATGGATTCCAGCGCTTTGGAGAGGTATCTGATTCATGGCGGGCCATTCCCGAAGTTGGTGGTCCCTGACGCGGCGTCGGCGTCGGCGTCGACGGCTAGCTCGGAGGGTAGCCCTAGCCCGAGCCCGGAACTTGGCCCTGTGAGCGGCGGTCCGGGAATGGCTGCGACGCCGGCGACGGCTATTGCTGTTTGAGCGGAGTTGCGAATGGAGAGTGATGCAATTGGTACTTCTTCTTGTGCCACTTGAGCGTTCACTCGTCGGGCCGATCGATGCTCACTGCATCTGACACCGTTTTGGCGTCGCATTGTCGCATCGTCGCAAATGAGCTGACGCCTTTTCTGCCTTGCCAAAAAAAAAAAAAAGCACGCCACTCCATGCTGGAGGATTACTGTACTCATGCATATAATCCTTCGATGCTCCCGTCCTTGCTCCCGCCTTTTTGGGGGCCGCTACTGCCTCGCTCCACCAACCTCAACCTCAACCTCAACATCTCCAGTCGGCCACTGGCTGGTCGGCTACCTCTACCTAAACTCTGTTGGGGAATTCCTTAACATCCACATCCATCATCATCATCAAAAAGGAAAAAGAGGAGTTGATGCGGGGACGAGACGATATTGATTTTTTCCGCCTTTTGATCGTTTTCCGCCTTTTCCAGCTTTGGCTTTCAACACGTTTCAGTTTCTTATCAGATTTCGCATTTCACATTTCAAAGATCTGGGCATCTTGGCAGCGGCAGCAACAGCAGCAGCAGCAACAGGCGTTTTACGAGGAGCATGACGACACTATACCATATACCATACCGCAATAACAACAACACATTGTACACAGGGAACAACAACAACAACAACAACACCAACCACAAACATACCCCAGAAGCCTTCATACCCATTTCACAATGTTGTACAAACCCCTTCTGTCAAGGGGTAAAGGGGCCTCTTTTTTAATGAGCATTATACCATCACCAAGATACCACCACCACCATCAAACAAAACCACTTCTTGTTTTTTTGTTGTTTTTTTTTTCGATACCCTTCCAGCTTCATACCCCTTAAGCATTTTAGATAGACCTTTTTTTGTTGTTTGGACTTTTTTGTACAACTTCTTCTTCTTCTTCAGTGCTGCTGGGTGTTTTTTTTTTTTTTTTTAATCCTTCTGGTGTATTGGTTTTTTTGGGCTTCTTTTTGGAGGCTTGGTTTCACTTGGGATTGATTGTTTGCTGGGGCACGGGACAGGAAGGAATATGTAGGATACCATTACCATTACATTACACATATTTAGACTCGAGCAATGATGAAACTGAAATACAAGCGATTGTATACCTACCGCATCTTAGGTATCTATCTACCTACCTACATCCTAACCCCCATCCAGCGTTCGTTGCGTCTTTGATTTATGTGCTGTGACCTCTTTCCTGACACTCTCCTTGCATGCATGCATGCATGCATGCTCTTCTTAACTAGAGAGAGAGAGGCCATCACCAGATACCAGATACCAGACACCAGATCTTTCTTGACCTTTTGCATCGTATCATTTGATCATATAACTAAGGTCACCAGGCCCCCGTGATCTCCTACACATGCTAACGAGTACAAGTATACGTTTCCTTACTCAGTGCACCCCACAGAGATGGAGAAGTCGCTGAATGAACCACGTTTGTGAAAGATTCATGTCATAATCTTGAAACTTTCCAAGTGATCATGTGTTTGCCCAAGGGAGAAAAAAAAAAAGAAAAGAAAAAAATTTTTATTCTCCGTCATGAACAGATTGCACCGAGACTCTCTCGAGGTGGCTGTTACTAAACTGACCTATCTCTGCCACGACGATAATCTGGCATCTCTGGAAGCATCCATATCATCCCATGAGTTGAGGTTACCTAGAGGTAGGTAGAGGTAGTCATCCAGAGCTATCACGATGTGATTTAGTGCAGCGCCGACGAGACTGCGTAGTGTACAATCTCTCGATTCCAACTGTCATACCATCCAATTTGATAACTCACCTAAACCGGCCACTAAGCATCCACAAGGTACACTCACGTTGGGTATCAACATCCCCCTAGATCGGGGAGGACTAATGGTCAGTTTTGTATGTGTGTGTGCCTAACTTGTGCTACTATGGCAACCAAGTTCTTGTCATGATGTGGGTGGACGACGTAACTTTTAGACTACCTCCTATCCCCACTCTTCATTCACAGAAGAACAATCGCAGTCGTAAACAGTCAGGATAGGCTGCCACTTTATTTAAGTAAGCAGCAGGGTTGGTTGCTTTGGTCCATCTGTCAATCATATCTGGTTTCGTTTATGCAGACTTAGAAGCAAACCTGAGGAACCCACAGAGAAAGCCCAATGATGTACAGCTTATACGGGTCACGGGAGTATGAAGGAAGTAATCTATATCCTCGATAGATTGCAGGGTGACAGTTTCACGGCGTTGAGGGGGAGACGACGATGGGGATTGCTCTTTGGCTTTTGCCTTGCACTTACAGGGCACTGCCGTGCTCCCGTCGCGTGCCGGCATTTGTTTTCTGGGGTAGGCGGACTGGGGAGTACTCATGATGAGGATGGATGTTGTTAGTTGAGCATCTTGAGAGTGCTGTCAAACACACTGGGATCTCCTATTCAGCGTCGAAGGTTCAAAAGACACTCCGGTATAGTGAAACAAACGATCTGAAGTACCATCAACCATTTCCATCCCTTGTCCTGAAACGCCTTAGGTCGCCTTCATCCTCTCCATTTCTCAAGCAACACCAGTTGCCTGATGCCTAATGCCTGGTCCCGCACCACAAATGACAGCTGCCTCCATCCATCCCCCATCCCATCTCGTCACGAACACCCGATCCCGCGGTAGCACAAACAGCGAACAGGCAGAGTGTTGCCGTTACTGAGACACACACACACACACACACACAAAGTGCGGAGGCGCCACAACCACAATCAACAAACGGGAAAAAACCCTCCACCGGAACAAGAGACAAAGGCACAAAAAGCAATACAAGAGACAACGGGAATAATTTGGATCGTGGCGCGGTGATAACTGAATGGCTCTGGGTCGGAACAAAGTGAACGTGTCCTAGAAACCTAGGTGATTTCCACAAAATTGAACGTATAATCAACGGTCAATGGTCAACGGGAACAACATGAAGCTGAACTTAAGTGTCTTGCGGCAATAGTCCGGCCTCGTTGGCTGCCGACCGTTATGAACGGCGAGACAGGAGAGGTGAGACAAGGAGGATCTACTATACTTCGCTGGCTAGACCCTTCTCAATATAAAACGCTGGTGATGTCTAAGCTTGTCGAAAATGTCGAAAAAAAAAATAAAAAAGTTGCAAAAGCGGACGATTTGCACGGCAATGAACGGGAAGCCGCAGAGAGGACGACGGGAGTGGTGGTCAGTAAGAGAACTCGTCGGTTAGGTGCACTGGCCAGGACGAGGAGAGTTGGTTGGTGAGTTCTGGCTTGTCACTGTACTTATGTAAGCAAGACACATCCCGACGAATAGCCTGCTCGGCCAAAATAAGGTAGTGTACACGTCAAGTGTGGACTGGGATCCCAACTTCCTTCTCCAACAAAATGCCCCTGTTTCAAGGGGCGCACCACTTGGGTGATGCAGATATCCGCGGAAGGAGCGAGAGGAGAGGGGAAGAGGTTAGGTGACGAGTTCCCTGACTAATCCATTCACCACCAGTTCCCATTCAGTTCTCTTCACTGTGAATACTGATTCCCAGGAGAAATGCATCTCGATCCGTGTCTTCAATAGCCTCGGTCAGGCTCGGTATGGCTCGGTCAGAGCTGTGATCAAATCAAAACCAGCACATACATAAGCCGAGCTCAGGAAACAGGAGAACAACAAATGCAAAGACATGACGACATGATCTCCGAATACAGATCGAGAAAATTGCACAGAAAAGCGTGGCTAACATGGAAGGTCTTTACACTAACCAAAAAATTGCCCCTGTTGACCCCTGCTGGGCATCTCCGTAAGTGGAGCGAAACTGGAAAAGTCCGCAAAGTCGGGATGCCAAGCAGCCGCGGCAGCTGCGAGAATCGTTTGTAGGGATGGTCCTTTTATTGGCGTCAGCGGGGACGGGGTCTTGGTGTAAAATGTAAATTGTAGTGTGAATTGGGTGCATGAACCGTGAATGCCGTTTTGCGGTTTCTGTTCCCGACGGGAGCCCGAGAGCCGGCAATTTGGAGGTGGCTGACTGGACGGAGCGAGGGTCCGCACAACAGGCCCGGACCCAGCTTGCCTTCCCGCCCAGTCCGTACCTGCCGTAGCGGTATGGGGCCGCCCAGTCGCCGTTGGGGACGCAAATGGAACCCCAAAACGGGCACACGAAGTTACGAACGGGCGCAGCGCCCGCAGCCTCAGCCGTCAGCCCCCTTGGGTGACATGGGTGCCTCTATTAGTTGACATGGTGGTCCATACTCATCTGGGAAAAGTCTTGATGTTCAGCTGAGTACGTACGGTCGCTTTGGATTGCCAAAGTGATGATAGGGAGGAGATAAAGTATATAGTTTTGAGCTGAATACTTGACTGGATTCGTCGTGAAAAGTTGAAAAGGGGCGGAGATACATAGGTGGAGGTCTGTCTGGCCCAGACTTCACAAACAATTGAAAGGGCAACCCCGCGTTGGCGTTGTGGGCGGCTGTTAGTGTGATGGAAAAGCGAGATACGAGGAGGGGATGCGTGAGGGGAAACACACACAGAGACCGACTTATTAAAAAAAGAAAAGACGAATTTGTTTCGAAACACCAAAAGCGGATTTCGAGTGATACATGCCGCAGAAGCTGGAAATTGCTCGAGGGGCTTCTCTCTTGCGCATGTTTATGTTATTTAAAGTTGGGTCACGGGGGACAAGACCGCAACAAAGGGGGGAAGACATGACCCTCCCCAACGGGTATATGTCTTGACTGAGAGGAAATTGAGCATGTCTCTAATAGTAAACACCCGGAGCGGTGCGTGCCTTTTTTTTTGCTTCTTTTACTGGAGAACCGCCCGTCCGTTTTTTGGATTGCAACTGAACTTTGTACGTAACAAGCTTCCCACCATTGGTGACAATAACTCCGAGTTCTGTTGTCTTGCTCCTTCCAGCCAATCCCGCGAATCTTCATTAACTGCGTGTATCGTTACCCTAACAATGTCTCAAACGTGGACTGAGGAAGCGTGTTAAGGGTCCAAAATCCTCCTGCACTCCTT